TCTATCAGCGTAAATCAGAAACTAACGAAAAATCCCCCAGAGCCGCAATAGCATGCACCAACCCATCCTGGTCTCCAATAGTCATCAAGCAAGAACGAGACTTCGTTGCCATCTTACTAGCATTCAATAACGCACAGTACATAATAGCTTCAATTTACTCTTCCCCAACGGACAGTATCACTGGCACCACCTCATAACATTCTTGACACCATACAACGATGCCCTTCAACCCCCTCTGCTTCTTAGTGGTGATTTTAATGCGCATAACACCATATGGGGATATGCAGATACTACGACGACGAAGGGACAGGAGCTTGAGGACTTTCTGGCAGCCAATAACATTCATCTATATTAATACATCCGATTCCCCACCTACATTTGATAATACCTATCATGTGGGCTGGCCAGATCTCACCCTCTGTTCAAGCAGCATCGCAAACCTAGTGCAAGACTGGACTGTGGTCGATGATGAGAGCTGCTCCGATCACAAATACCTTCACTTTCTCATAAACTGTGACACGAAAATCACAGTCCTACGTAGGTACAGGCTTCCAGGCAACAAGATCCGCCCCCTCAGTCGCTCCTTCACACGCATCTTAAGTAATGAGGAAAACAACCTTGCGCTTCACAACAGCCCAGAAGGCATGGAGATTTTCACAGACCGACTACTTGGAAAACCTTAAAGCAGCCTGTAGTGAACTACTCCCCACACGCGCAGCGAAGAAAATACAAGGAGTTAAGTGGTGGACGAAAGAGCTCAGACAACAACGGCAAAAATGCAGAGCTATCAGACGCCGCATACGTTCCACCACCAATGAAGACAGAAAAAATCCAACTATTGGCGACATTCCGCAAGGAGCGAGCTCTTTACAAAAACAACATACTAGCGGCCAAAATTACCAGTTGGAGGAAATTTTGCACCGAAAACAGCAATCCGTATGGAATCCTCCACAAGCTAGCCTCAAGTAAAATATATCAGCCAGCTCAAATCTTCATGCAGCCACCAAATACAAGCAACGACAATCCAGTACAAAATACATACAGCCACCACAATCCTCAACGAAGTCTTCCCCACAGACAACGCGGAGGAAGATACGCCAGCACAGAAAATTGTTCGCATGAATACCACCATCCCACCGACTCCACATGATATACCATTTAGTGACAAGGAAGTCAAGCAAATTTTCCAACACCTACCCCTGAAAAAGGCCCCCGGTCCGACGGCCTGGACTATAGCATCATCAAAGTTGCCTACAAAGCACGCCCCTCCTTCTTCTACAAATTCTTTAACCAACTGTTTGACAACCAAATATTCCCGCAGGCATTCAAGAAAGGACAAGTTGTCCTATTCCTCAAAAAGAATAAAAGCCCGCAAGATCCCGCTTTCTTTTCGCCCGATATGCCTTTTGCCAACCCTGGGCAAAATTTACGAGAAATTAATTGTTAACAGACTAAAATATCATCTCCATAGCAACAATCATCTCAGCCCCAGGCAGTATGGCTTTCGCACTGGTCTGTCCACTACGCATGCCCTCTGCAAAATTCGTGAAACAATTCAACGCAATAGCACCACAGGTTTCCATACAGCTTTCATATCCATTGACCTCCAGAGTGCGTTTGACACACTCTGGTGGCCAGCGATAAGACAGGCCCTCCGAGACGCACAGTGTCCATCCAACCTCTTCAGCGTTTTTAGTAGTAGTATCTAGAGAATCGTAGTCTTCTCATAGCCATCAACAACGACACTACCTTCAAAGTGCAAGAAAGAGGATGTCCCCAAGGCTCTTGTGCTGGACCGATTCTCTGGAATTTAACATTCAACGCTGTACTGGATGCAAACTGGCCACGACATACAAGTGTCATCGCCTACGCAGACGACGCAGCTCTTCTTGTCAAAGGTCGCACTCGTGCGGAGCTCGAGAAAAACGGCACCGAAGTCTGCTCCCTCCTCGCCAATATCTGCAGCAACTTAAAGCTTACAATCTCTACCGCAAAGTCATCAGCAATAATAATACCCAAAGCAGGCACGAATCCAACGCGCCGCCCCTGCATCAAACTACAAGGAGCCAACATAAAGATTGTCCAAACGCTAAAATACCTAGGTGTAATCTGGGATAAAAAACTAACCTGGATCCCTCACATCCAAGAACTAAAAAACAAAACATCAGCTATTGCCAGAAAGGCCCGCGCCTTCCAAGGTAAAAACTGGGGTCAGAATCATCATATTCAGAAGATCCTCTACCATGTGGTAGCTGAAAAAATAGTCTTGTATGCTGCTGCCGTATGGGCCCAACCGATGGGAGGACGAAAGATCAAACATCTTACATCTCTTCAACGACCATTCGCCCTGAATCTCTGTAAAGCGTACCGCACCACAGCCACCAGCTCAGCGACAGTCCTTGCAGGGCTCATTCCACTCCACATACGGGCAGAACAAGAGGCAGTGTACACCACCCTCATATACCTCCGCAAAGATGCAACATTTGGCAACATAACATACAGCCCTCTGCAATTTCAAAGCCCAGGTAACACTCTTCACACTCATCCTGCACGTAAAGGCACAGGAATAAGAATTAACATCTCACGGATACAGCCACTGTCAATGACGCGAGTTTCAAGGGATACGCAAATATACACCGACGGCTCTAAGCAGGAAGATGGAGTAGGCAGCGCCTTTGCACACTATGACAAAGGAAGAATCATCCATGTATGGAAAGGACGCCTTGACTTAAACAACAGTGTGTTCCAGGCGGAGGTGCAAGCAATTATAACCGCGGTAGATTACATTTTCAATAATAATATAGAACGGGCGAAAATTTTCACTGACAGTATGTCAACGCTTCTAGCACTAGATAATCACAACCACACCTCGCCCTTGATCATCAAATTACAACAACTTTTACAGCGCAACCCGCAGAAACATCTCTCCTTAACATGGATCAAGGCACATGCAGAAAATGAGGGGAATGAAGCAGCTGATAGCCTGGCCAAGCAAGCAGCCACTGATCCAGAAGCTGAAAAAATCACAATCCCAGCCCCTCCTTCCTACCTCAAAGGGCTATTACGGGGTCAAGGCCTAAATCTTTGGCAGGAAGACTGGACGCACTGCACAACTGGAAGACGTACATACAGCTATCCTCCCGAAAGTCAGCACTGAACGCAACATTGCAATAGCTCCTCTTACGGCTTATATTACGGGACACGGCCCATTCCCGACCTACTTCAATAGACATGGCATAACAACCACGGACATATGCGCCTGCGGAGCGGAAGGCTCCCCAGACCACTATGTTTTTGAATGCCATCTGACAGCAGGAAATCACCTCCCTCTTCCTATCAACAATAGTGAAGCTTATCACCGCTTCCTTATAAAGCACAAACCGGCAGTAAATACAATTTGCAAAGTTGTTAACAAGCTCAAGAGAATGGGCCAAGATTTGTGCTCTCCTCATTAACCAAAACTCTCAAGACATGATACACTAACTAAGTCAGCATGCAGTTCCACATTCTCAGACACATAAGACTACTCCTAAAATTTACATAAGTCCCTATTACAGACACCTTTCAAATAATGCACAATCAAATGTATTTAACATTTCCTCTTCTGTATATGCATAATACTATTTTTTTTTTTATTTATTTATTTATTTATTTATTTATTTATTTTTTTTCCCCCTATGAGCGTGTATTTTGATCCTATTATTTTGTAACTGTATTTTTGTATCTGTATATTTAATTTGTATTTTATTAGAATTTTATTGTGAATGTGCAAAATTACCATAGCAAATTGCAACAACAAATGTCAAAACGGTAAAACGAATGCAATCTGCCCTTGTATGGCCATGTAAATGATCTTGTTAACATCCTAAAAAGCTCCCGAGGCGGCCTCTTGAGGCCCCAGGGAGTTGTTCCTGGTTAGTGGAGGGCGCGGGACACATGCCTGTTTACCTCTGTTAGACATCAGGCGTCCCCGTCCTCCGTTACCAACCAACCAACCAACCAACATATCCGAGAGGTCCAAGGTTCGAGTTCCGGCAAGGGTACTGCACTTTTTTCACATATCGTGCTTAGAAATAAAAACCTAATGACTCTACAATTGGCGCCCGAACTAAAAGGTAGTGAATGCTAATTCATCACTACCAGGGTTTGGCGACTGGGTCTCTTAGTCCCTAGTCGTCTTTTAAAAAGTGGAGCATATAAGATGTTTTCTGTCTCCTTTCTGTACACCTTCGTAGTGTAATTGAAAGCATATTCGACGCGTATTCAAGATGGCATTGCACATTTTTCACGTATCCTGCTTCATAAAAACCTAATTACTCGACAAATTTTAAATGCATAAGAATACGACGCTTGAAACGCAACAGAAGGGATAGGTATAAAAATTATATTGTTTATATTTTTACTTAACCCTGCCGCCGAAAATTTTGAATAACTTTTATAAAATGTTCTATCTTATTTTTAAAGAAATTTTTAGTTTCAAATATGGGTTCTTTGTTTCATTTAATGAAATAAAGCATGTATCTACTTTGTTTCAAATTCTGCTAAGTAACTCATGTATGCTACTTGCTTATTCATGTTAGCTGCCTTTAAAAGTTAGTAACTCTTTTTATCTAAAAAAACGTTTGTGAACATCATGTATAAATCATAGAGGTGCTTAAACTTCTTATGAATGCGATCTCACGAAAAAGTTAAGTTTCTTTTAAGATCTCAAATTACTATATAAATAGAACAAGGAGCCAAAAATTGTAATTAAAAACATACTTTTTAAAGTTATTTGTCTCACGTAAATGATTTTATTCAGCTACTCATCTTACTTTTTTATTCAAATTTCATTAAAAATTCTGAGTTCCATAACTTGATAGTAAGTAATCATTATAATCTTAGCTTGTGATATTGCATGTTAATGTTCACATTCATAATTACGTTATAAATTAATAGAGCAGTTGGAATCATCTTAATAAAATATCTGATTTGTAATTAAGTGTCCTTGTTTTTTCCAGATTCAGGCTACAGTATCGAGAGAAGAACTGCAAGCTTATGGCACTGCTGGGGCTGTGGCAGAAGAAGTGTTATCTGCCATTCGCACTGTAGTGGCTTTTGGAGGAGAGCGAAAAGAAATTCAGAGGTAAAATTAAAGATTGTTACTCGTGCACTGTAAGCTTTTGGTAATATTAATTACAGGTAGAGATTTCTTTAAATCTACCATTTTAATCTCAAATTCATTTTATAGCAATAAGACCTCGGTGTAAAAATAGAGTAGCTTCAGCAAAATATTGAATGAAAAATCCCCGTCACTTCAAGATTCAATTTAATTCAGGTATCCCATTAATCCAGCATCAAAATTTCCGCTTTCAGTATATTAAATTGTGTCGTTTATGATCTACGCTTCACTAACAGTTAGTTTTATGTTAATTTCTTTCCTTTATGAACTTACCAGCGGAAGATCATTGAAATCGCTAAATGCGCTAATGTTCGAGTCGGGTTGGGTCGGGTTAGAGTCGGGTTCAAAACCTAGCGTACGGACTGGGTGCATGGACGTTTTTATGCTTTTTATAAAACGTGTAACGTAAATACCCCTAGGAAATTTTACCAGTTTCCCTTAGAGCGTTCCCCATGAAGACATAGTTCCGTACAGCCCTCAAGTTTCTTTGCCTTAATTTATTAACCTAATCTTTTCCTTTATGCCTTTCGTCACATATTCTCTCGATCCAGAGATGCAAATTGCATTTTTGGATTGAGCATACCTTAAACTAAAATCTAGCTTAAGGTTATGCTCAATACAATGAAGAATATATAGATAAGATAATAGAAAGGTTAAGGTATGTTCAATGAAGGCTCAATCTAAACTAGAATTAGTTTAAGGTATGCTCAATGAATGCTCAATCTAAACTAGAACCTAGTATAAGGTATGCTCAATGAATGTACAATCTAAACTAGAATCTAGTTTAAGGTATGCTCAATAGAATGAATATATCTACAAGCAGCCATACCTTAAAACTAGAATGAAATATCATCTGCACTTAAGCAGAATTCTGGCAACGATGCTGCTGCTTGTCTAAAGAACCGTCCATTAGAAGAGAAGAATGAATGCCAGATGTTAGTCATGTTTGGTGACTGTAAGAAAGATAGCTGTGTGTTTCTGCTCAACCCGAAAGTATCGTAGTTTAGCTTAGGGATTTGTTGAAATTGTAAGCCAGCCAATGTAAATAGCAGACAGTTGCTGTAGACGAGAAGTAGAAATATTTATTTTTAGCTGTAATACCAAGAACCGAGAACAATAAAGTTTTATTTTAGTACTGATAATTATGACATATATCGTGTGTCTACAGCAAGCACATTCAGAGAGGCGATAATTCGCCGACCAGTATAACTAGTGCATAGCAAGTAATTTAGTTAAGCAGACACCTTTAGGTGTAAATGTAAGTCTCCGAAAAAGTAGTAGCCCCAGGAAACCTTATGTATCCACCACGCTTGTCTTTGGATTGATCCTAATCTGGATGGACAGACACATCCACTGGATATGTGTGTTGGAATCAAGGAGGATTATTGCTAAATATTTCCATCACATTGCCTGTGATACTAGGTCCGGAAACAATCAGTCTCCCATTTCAATCCATAAATCTGTGAAAAGTTTGGGATCATAAAGCATGTCATTTAATTTATTACTTTCACTGTAAAAGCAGTCAAACCTTTTTTTCAAAATTATATGTTACGTATATTTCATAGCCAAATATCACATGATTATTATTTTTTGATAATCAGAATTATCCGTTATTCAGGTATGAAAAATGCCTTGCACCAGCCAGACAAAAAGGCATTAAGAGGGGCCTCATGACAAGTATCGGTGCATCTCTTACCTGGTTCTGTATCTTTGCTGGCTATGCTCTTGCCTTTTGGTACGGTGTAAAACTCATTATGGAAGGAATGGGAAAACCGAATCCTGAATACACTGGAGGAACACTCATTATCGTAAAGTATTTTCTATTGTAGACATTCTAATTTATGAACAGTCTTGAAAATTGTCTCTCAACAATTTTATAGTAAAAGAAGAAAAAAAAAATTAATGGAATTAATTTATTAAATTTCTTATTACTCTTCCATTTTGCTATGACGTTTGCTATTGTTCTCTTTACCAAAACATTATTTTCGAAGCAATTTATGTATATTCCTGTTGTAATAGTTTAATTCTGTACTATTAGTTTTGTAATATTCGGACGTTCAATAACTGAAATGACTTATTGTGAGAACTTCCTATAAAATTAATTTTTCTCTTTTTTCATGCAGTGTAGGGACGGATAATATGATACTCAAGCAAAATTAAATACGCTGTATATCGATTTTTATTCTAAGTAGCATTTTGCCGAAAATCATCATTATCGGCGATAATATTTAATTAACTTGTATGTTGTTTCTGCTTTAAATACCTGCCGACTAGCTAATCACATTGTCATTTTAGGCTGTGTGGCCAACAATTTCTATCTTATCTAGCACTCTTCCCAGTAAGTGAACTCCAAAAATGAAATGTTTGCTTGGAATGTTGCACGTCTTTTTTCTTTTTATTGGTATAGAGGGCGGGATATTAGGATCCGATTAGCTTGTGTTCAGCTTAATACTGTGAATTACACTTTTTCGTAATTTTCCAATTTGATCCAGCTAACTATTTTGTCCAGTCTTTTACTATTATAGTATCAAAATTTAAAGAAAATATAATGAAAGATTTGGTAAAATATAACAATTCCGTTTTAGACATTCCTAGAAATTTTATATACATCAATCAGCCATTGGAATTTTGCGCACGCTGAGATATAGATATAGAGGAATCTAAAATTCGATACAGAAGTTCTATGTTAGCTTGCTACGCCTATGAGCTCTATCCAACCCAATAATGCTATTTTGGTGTATTGGTGTAGGCAATGGAGAATCAAAGTATAATAATAGTATAAAGTATAAATGTCTCAAAGTCTGTGCTTCTACTGTAAGAAGGCGCCAGATCTGAACAACCTCTATTTATTTGCGGAAATCCTGAAGCGTGTAAATAATGTGAGTTATTTAGTGGTTATCATTAACTAAAGGCTCACGTGGACTTGTTATATTAAGCACTTCAAGGTTGGCGATACCATAGGACAAGCCTGTGGTATCGCCAACCAACTTTATATACTCTAAAGAAATTACTCTGGACTGTCTCACAACAGAAAAGGAGGATATATTTATGCATTATAAACCCAGCTTTATGCTACGCAAACTTCGCATCCACAAACTTCAAGTAGTACAGATGAATTGTAAATGCTTATTACCTGATTAGAAACAAACTTATTTATGACTTGAAAATAAACCGTATGGTGGACCACATTACTAAATTTAATAAACGTTTCTTCAAAACTGGACTCAGTTGTGATGCTGCAATTTTTTCAGAAGTTTTAGTTACCAAATCATTCCAAATTTGATTAAACAAATTGCTACTCACATTCTTAGAGACCACAGCATCGTAACTTAGCTTTGACTGACGACTTTCACTAGTTTCCTTGCCTAGTGTGACTTTCGTCTCTGGTCGCTGTTCATGTTTGGTACGTATGCAGTACAGGAGACAATGGTCTCTCAATTTTTATATTACTTCCTTGGAGTTTCTCCTGCCAGCTCGTCAAAGTCTTGTGCCCTCGGTGGCCTAATTTTGATATCTAGCTTATTAAGACCTCTTGGGGGTCATATAAGCAACTTCATTATTCTTATCCGTAACCGATAGAGAAGTAATATCATCCTAGAATCCTTTAAACATTTTGATATAAAAATCTGCTGCCTAGAGATGCTGCCAGGGGCTTGAGAGGACAGATCTGCAAATATTTTTAAAAATTCCTACATAGGCATACGTATCCTAGGTAGCTTACTATGGTGCCAGTTTCTAAAGGATGCTCATTAAGTTGTTCTTTAATGTAGCTGATGAATGAAGGTACAATTTGCTTTGATTTGTTTATTCATGCGGGACGTCAAACGTACTGATCGACTAGGACGCCGAATATGTTGGAGCCGGTCTTACCTGCAGCCAACCTACCCTGTTTCATGAGGTGATGATGATGATAAAAGCCACGAATTAAACATTTTCGAATATCACAAATTAAAAGCGAAGTTCTTATATCAATGGGATATGTAAAAAAATTATGAATGAAAATGATATAATTGAAGTATTCCATTACGATGACAATGTCCCAGTCGTCAAACGGACGGCTAAATTCCATTTTCCGAGTTGTCATCTCTATTCAAGTTAAATTTTCTTTAATTTCAAGAGGTGGTTGTGTTATTCAAACTGAAGATATACCTTAAATTGAGGTTACAATGCATCAAACACTAATCAATTTGCGGATAGTAAAGTGCTGTGCGATTTAAAATCTGAAAAAATATCGCCAATGATGGTGAAGAAAATGATAAGGAGATTACTGAAGATCAAAGGATTACATTTTATTACTATTGTTATCTTATCAAAACTATTACGGTGTTGTCTTATCAAAATTATTCTTGTCTTATTAATGGGAATTCTCAACAGGGCACTTATAGACTTGAACTTAAAACTTTGTAACTGAACAAGAAATTTCATCTGACTAGAAAATCGAAGAGAAAGTAATAACACGTAAAACAAAATTGCTTAAGCTTAAAAACAACTTAAGCTGAAAAAATTTAATAAAGTAAGCAAATATTCAGATAAACATTTTTTCCGGAAGACCCGACAATTCAAGATTGCGGATTTTGCATTGTGTAATTCATTATGTAAAAATTTTTAATTTTGATATTTTTATCTCATTTTAAATAAGAGAATATTTTTTGTTTAGTTGAACTCTAAATGTAAAGATGCATATCAAATTTAAGTAATCGCAGAGATGTCAAGATAATTAGATATTTAGGTAATTCATGTTTGAGTTTAAATTATTTAATAATGTAAATTTAATTTAATTTACACTTTATTTTTACTGAAATCGCAAATGATTTTTGTAAATAGCTTTGAAAGCCATTTAAAAAAGTAATCATTCGTAATTTTAATTTTTATACTTGAAAACATTTGTAAATAATTTCTAAAAAAGACAGTTGCAGAAATATCAAATTCTAAAACTCTGTGTGTTTTAGTTTATGGAATCATCAATTGACTACTTCTTTCTTTTTTCCAGTTAAAAGTTTCAGAATGCTTATATATCCTTAAAAAGAAATTTTTCCTGTGCATAAAACGTTGCATGAATATTATATAACCTGCATAATAACTTTCTTAATATTTTATTTTTTCCGTTCAGGTATTCTTTAACGTTATGTCCGCATCTATGTTCATTGGGCAAACAGCTCCATATTTCGAAGCTTTCGCTGTCGCCAGAGGAGCAGCAGCAAAGGTCTTCAACATCATCGATAGGGTATCGTTACTAATTTTTTGCAATCGTAATGTATAAGATAAGGTAAAAAACTATATTTTCTAGGGATAATTAATCATTGAAACTTAAGTAATATTTAAGAGCCCGATTCGGTGTTAAGGAGCAAAATCAGTCTGATCTGTATTTAATAAACCATGCAAATTGATTTTTTTAATTAAAGCATTTTGATGTTTACTCAAGTTATTGCAGGACATAGGATATTGCTATTTAAGTCAATTATCTCTAAAAGCTTAAATCATATTGAAAATTTCCTTTTTTCCCATTTGTAGTGTCGATTTGCTGATATCAACGATAGTAAAAAATATTATAACCAAAATAGTCATTAAAAGCCCTTAGCACTTAAAAGGCTTACGTATTCGTTCACACACAAAACGTACGTGCGTACATACACTCACTCATACGTATGACACTCTGGTTCGAACCGATAGCCAGACTTCTATTTTCGCAGCTATGAAACTACGAAATACGTAACTTTAAACGTACAAAAAAAAAAGGAATGAATAATTAATAATTCATATTAGATCTTGATTCAGATTCAGATTTATGATTCAAAAAGGTATTAGACTTCGTTAAGCATTTTTCAGGCAGAATCTAAGACGTATTGATGCGTACTTCATTAACAGACTTCCAAAAGGAATTCCGTTGATGGTGCGAGCGGTAAAGTCGCTGAACACTGGTAGTTCGGTCCGAGGTTGAATCCCGCGAACGGGCTGGCTGCATGGATGTTTTCGTGGTTTTCCCCATGTGTAACGTGTATAACGAGCCAGTTTCCCTTAGAAAGTCCTCCACGAAGGCATCCCTCCCTTTAGGCAGATAGCCCTAGTGTGCTTTGCCATAATTAAATAAACCAAACCAAACCGTTGATGGTGCAAGCGCTATGATCGAAGTATAATTGCAGAAGAAGGTTATTTTCAAGTTGATACAGATTACATTTTCGAAAAATTCATTTTCTTCCATGTTAAGTTTCTTAAAATCACACTGAAAATGAAGAAATTGCTTCTATGAATAATGGAGAATAGCAATTATATTTATTATCAATTAGCTTTTTCTAATGTAGTTATTCTTTTAAGTTCTTAAACATTAAGCATTTAACTTCGTTTCATAATTAAATCTGTGCTAAATTTCTTGAGTCATTAGTGGGAGCAAACGTACATTATATAAAGCACTCCGTCAGCCTCGTGCATAAATACGAAACTTTTTCCTAGTATTAGTTTTCAGTATTATTTTAAGAAAGACAGATATATAAATTCTAAATTTTTTCTAAGTGAAGAACATTTTATATAGATTCCTTCAACCATTCATGGCAAGCAGCTACACATTTTATAAAGCACTCCATCGTTCTCTTACATGCTCCTTTATATAACGCATGTTTCGATAACAGAAACCTCCTGACGGAGTCAAATGAGAGCGTTTTGTCGGATTATTCTACTGCAGTTATTACACATTTTTAATATCCATACGAAACTGAAAATTCCTTAGATTTATGCAATTAAAATCCTGTCAATAAGTCACTTGCCATGCTACTGTAAAATAGAGATTAAATCAAAATAATGTTAGAGACATACATTGAACCCAAACTATGGAGCACACTGATAGGATACTTGCATTATTTCAAATAATAATTGAAGCTGGTTTTATATTTGATTCACAAAACCTCAATGTACTTATCGCATGTCGCACAGCATACTTCGAAAATAGGTATGGTGAATACTTTTTGTTTGAAATCAACATCTTACGATGAAGCATTTCAATTATACTATAATTCTGATTTTTCAGATCGACACCTATTTTAAAGTAAGCGATACTTTAAGTTTTTGTATTAGTCAAACAAAATAGGAGCATAAGTTCTGGTGACAATGCAAACAGTATTCTAGCCAAACATTGGGACAGATTATATATTTAGAAGTTGATTGTTCAAAAAATGCAAAATTTCATGAAGGGTATGTGAGCATATTCCATCTCGGTAGAAAATAGCAATATTTCTGTCTTTCATCAATTGTGACAAAAGAACTCTGCGGCATACCCAAGATATATTTACGATTACAATCCTCTTATAGAAAACCAGAAAATTGTATCTTTTGTTAAGGCACGAAACTTTTCGACTTTTGCTGCGTTATGTTGTTGTTCTTGTTGCTTATGCTCACTTGTCTGACATAGTCAGCTCAAGCGAACGAAATTTCTTGTGGCAAGGAGCACTTGAATACGCCTGCCGTTGGCAACAGCCTTGAACACCATTCAGGTGATTTAGCTCAGTTGCGCCCCCAGTTTTGATGGAGAGCAATCCGGGGGGGGGATGGGTCCCAGGATCTCCCAGCCCTCTCCCTTTCCACCAAACCACATGAAAGGACTTTCGGGCCGCCGCATATTTAGAGTGCTGCCATACCGCACAGACACTATACATTTACACAGACAGACACTATACATTTACGAACACCTATGCTTTCTCCGGGATTCGAACCCGGGCCCTTCGGCACGGCAGTCAGCGACTTTAACCACTATACTGGTTGGTTGGCGTGTTACGTTATTTTTTAACCAAACTATTCAGAAGCCGCTTGTGTAATCTGTACTGTAGTCAGTTAAACTGTGATTGCGTCGAATGATAATGCACATAAAAGAAATGACGTAGGTGGCTTTTGAATTCTATTGAATAAATAATGCACTTTCTTTATTCAATCGAACTTTTTCTGTATCTTGAAATGGGACTTATATACGCATAAGAAAAACAATAATAGTTTCTTCTTTCAGGAACCACTTATAGATAGCAGTTCAGAGGATGGATTGAAACCGCAGTCGGTATCTGGAAATATAAAACTCAAAGAGGTACATTTTAACTATCCAGCAAGATCCTCTGTACAGGTAAGAATAATAACAAGAAGAAAGCTAAATAGCTAAAATTTACAACAGACTATTATTTTAAACTTTATTTGAATTTTTACATTTTAGAATTATTCATTTGATTAAAGTTGTTAAACGTACATATATTACTATGAGCCTGATGCATGCTTTCAACATCTGCTGATTCTGATTTTCAGTAACACAGTAGAACTCCAATTATCCGAATCAATTGGAACCATACTTCATTCGGATCATAAAAAATTCGGATAATTGATTTTTTTTCCGAAGAAAGGGTCTACGTACACATTAATTCATTACTGTATGTACTGTATGTTGAAAATGGGAGAAGAAAAGATATTTTTAAAGAAAGAGATATTTTAATTAATTAAAATGGAAAGGCAACGTACATGTTATAGAGCGTACTGTACAGTACTTACTAGTGCTTGAAAGTCATTGCTTGCTGAACATCTCGGGCAAAGTAAGCTGTTTGACGGACACAGTGCCTGCACTTAAAATTTCTTAGCCAGCCGTTAATTGCTTTAAAAGCTAAACGCGAAGCTTCTGAGATAAGACCTTAGCTTTTTCACAAAGAATCGCACCCGAAATTCGGTTTCCCATAGAACGTTGCTGCAAAAACCACTTGAAAGCGACTTCTAAATTTTTGTTTGTTGTTGCCTTCATTGATTTTGTTGAAGAACTTCCATCTTCGTTTTCAAGAAGTAATACAAAGTGTAGGTTTGTTCCTTTTAATGTCTGAAATCGTTGATTGTCCAACACTACGTTTCGTCTTCATTTTTTTCTTAAATTCTGATAGCGATTCGCATAGTCGGACTTCTGATAACTGGAGTTGTACTATACTACATTTAGATTGAAAACTAACTGTTTTTATTCGCCTTGAAGAGATAACCTCTCCTACAATTTTTTTTCTTTATTTGAACAGAGCACAGCGTACTAAGGATATCTCCTTAAAAAGATGCTTTAAAAGGGATGCTTTCGCGAGAACTTCCTTGACTGGTATTTTATATAACGAGCGAGATAAACTACAAAAATCTCTGCGCAGCCAACTTATTCATTGCCCAGGCTGGGTCGAACTACCAGCCTTCAGCGAGCTTATATACTTGGTCATTAGTGGGCTTACCTGTTCTTAAACTTGTAGGATTTATATTTATTTTAAGTTATCTTTCCTGTCAAACCTTTACTTTTCCTTAGAATTGCCAATGCTAGAGTATGTAAATTGTAGTAGAGCGCGCAGTGTATTCAAATTTAGCAGAAGTAAGTTGAGTTTAAATAAAAGGAAAACGAGATTGTAGGTGTGCTTCTTGATTCGCGAACGTGAAGTTTGCTAGGTAGAAATTTAAGAATCGCACGTTTCGGCTGTGTGCCTATCTCGGTAGTTTTTTGCTGATCTTTCAACTGCTTAATTAGTAAGCTCGCTGAATCTCAGCGGTATTTTAGAACGCGGTTAGGTAGTTTAAGATCTCAGAGCCTCGGGATAGTGTCTCGCTATTTTATTCATCCAGTCATTATTGTTTAGTTTTACGTTCTGTTTCAGTTAAACCGCCGGGTCGGCGTAGTTTATGAGCGTCAAGTGGACGCAGCTGTTATTTTTTAAAGTTGAATAAAAAGGGCGCTAAACCCTTCTTACGTGTCTGTGTAAATTTACACTTAGTAGCAGTCACTATCACAGTTGCTGACAAGTTGGGGCCACAAACGATACTACAAACTTACACTCCGAAATTAGCAGCAGCAGACGGTTCCAGCTTTAAAATGTGTATTTGTTACTATTTTAGACAACCCATGTATATTTTTTTAAAAGTTTACTTTTTACTGTGTTTTGTGATTATAATCTAAATTATCAAAATGTATTTTTCTGAGTCTTTATGATTCTAATGTACATATCAAAAGAAGAGACAATATGCTACAAAAAGGTTAGTAAATTCATTTTTTATTATGAGAATTTATACTGAAGATTTGATATTTTATATCAAAATGAAGAAATTAAAGTAATGTTTCATATAAAGTGTATTTAAGGAATTTCCAAATGAGTTTATAAAATTATTCCAGCAATCTTTTTTTTCCCTTAGCAAATTTAGATAAATATTTATTATTAATAATGCTTTAGTAATTCATTAAAAACGATTAATTTATAACCTTTTAATCTTCAGTACTAATTTGTTGCATGCTATCTTTTTGTAACACCATTAAATTCTTGTATAACACTATTCCCTTCTTAGTGCTTATACATGTAGGCAACCAGTTTCTTGGTAAAGATATTTGAGTGCATTTAAATTTTGTTGAAATATTTTCAGGTGTTGAAAGGATTATCCCTTGATGTAGCACCAGGAGAAACAGTTGCTTTGGTTGGTCCCAGCGGTTGCGGTAAAAGCACAGTCATTCAACTGGTACTTCGGTTTTATGACACACATACTGGATCTGTAAGCACACACATTTTTCTCTAACAATTAAAAGAATAATTTCTTCTATTTTGTATGACTGTTTTTTGTAAATGCCGTAAGAATTTAAGAACGAATTAATGAAGAATTTTAGGATTTTGAGAGAGGAACTTTAAAAATTATTTATGCATTCTCTGTGAATCTATTTAGGGATTTTCCAGTTGATAGCTAATATGCTGATCACCTACATCACAAAAGCCTTGAACTGAAGAAATGTCTTCATTTTCTGCATTACAGTTAAAAAGAATAAAATAATTTCATTACCGTAAAACAATTATAACACAAAGTAATGACTTCGTTCCGGACAAACTGCAGAAAACATTATCTTAAATACACTACCCGTTTCAGATAAAATAAAGCAGTAACATTAGTTTTTTATTTCGTAGCCGGTAAAGCAAATAATGATCTAGTCTTATTTTTGCTTCAGTGAAATTAAATGAATTATTTATTTATTATTAACATAATAATACTATAAGCTGACCTATTTTTCAAACACATTAATATTATAATTGCTTAAACGCATACTGTTTTATATTATTTAGATCAATATAAAGATTAAAGACAAGTGAATAAATTAGTCACAAATTTAACTTTACTTGACCTTGAAAGATGAGAAAACTTTCCGGATAGTTTGAATTTCTGATACCTAGTATCCAATACTAAGAGTTGTATTTATAAATTTTGTACATGTTTAGAACTGTTCGTATTTGTAATAACGCTCATATTTATTCTGATATTCAGATTTGTAGTAAATAATTTATTAGACGTAGTCAGTTCAAAATATTTTAATGAGAAATAGATCTTAGTTTAGTGATTACAAGCCAAATCTATGGCTATAAGGGCAAGATCAACGAATAAAATCGCCAAAGGAAGATTTATTACCATTTCGAAACGAATAATAAGTAATAGTTCAGACCGATTTTTATTCGATAAACTGAAATTCGGCCTTAATTTATTCTTTTAAATTAATACATTCCCTAGCGCAATTGAATATTTCGACAGATTAACGAATACTTCCATACATTAACGTTCTTTTCAAGTTAGTGTAAGTGATATTTATTAATTTTCTCCTTAGGTTGAACTGGATGGATGCAATGTGAAAGATTTGAACGTCGGTTGGTTGAGGGATCATATAGGCTTGGTTGGTCAAGAACCTGTTTTGTTTTCTACTACTATAGCAGAGAATATTAGATATGGAAACTTCGATGCTACAGACGAAGAAATCATTCAGGCGGCTAAAATAGCAAATGCACACAATTTTATTGAAGCTCTTCCTTTAGTACGTAAGCATATGAATGTCTCATATTAAATAACTATTTTAAATTTTCTAGTGTCATTAGATTAATTCGAAGCAGGAGACATGAAAAATTCGCAATGCCCTCGCCGGACTCGAACCACAGACATCTCGAATACGCGCCGAGTGTGCTGGCCATTACACCACGAAAGCGTTCTAAGGAGGCGAGAGAAATACCTTATAACTTAATTATTGTAAATATTTTATTTTCGTATTCTTAAAGCACTATAATATCACTATAAGAGATAGCAGGGCTACCTCCCAACAGGGGGCATTTAGCATGTTATTGTTCGAGAAGTTACAGACATCAACATTTATACAGCCTGCATTTAGAATTGATATTTTCTCCTTTCCATAAGTCTGCTTGAACTGAAAACCAAGATCACTGGTACTATAGAAACCATTACGCCAGATATATAGGCTAGGTTGTGGCAAGAATATGATTACATTATTATATTTCATCATATAATAAGTCGTATAAGAAAAGATGTGCTCAATGGAAACTTTGCAGCGCGTATTTGCGAACGTGATCGTTGGCTCTTTCTATCTATGGATTCGTAATTGTAGTTTTCATATATTAATTAATTGGATTGAAATTATTTTGCTTTAAATTCCGCCAATAATTTGAAGACACCCAGTATTATAAAGTGAATAATCTCTTAGACTAAATTACGAGTTATTTACTATTAGCAAAAAAATTAAATGCTATGTCATTACCTTTTATTTTCCTTTTCTATATGTCTGTCATTATAAATATTAAAAATGCAGAGTTTTTTTGAAATTTTATAAAATATATAAAATAAATGAAGCTGTCACAAAATTTTAACCTTTCAGTTTTACTTACGAAATATTTGTAACTTGGGATCTAATGTAGGTGGTAGAATACTTAAAAAAATAATTTCTGGAGAAAGAATCAATACCTAATTCCAGCATTTTAAAGTTTATACAATATTTAAGTAGATTAACGCAATACTTGTCTTCAGTTCTAGCATAATTGAAACGCAGCTGAAGCCAAGTAAGTTTTAAAATGCTCGTCTTAGAAATTAACTAATTATAAATCAATGAATACAATAAATATATGTTTTTGCTTATACGTTTTTCAGAAGTATAATACATTGGTCGGTGAAAGAGGAACACAACTGAGCGGAGGTCAAAAGCAAAGAATAGCTATTGCACGAGCTCTCATAAAAAATCCCAAAATATTATTACTAGATGAAGCTACTTCTGCGTTGGACACAGAGAGTGAATCCGTTGTGCAGGCAGCTCTTGACGAGGTTTTTTTTTTATTTTTGATGTATATTAGAAACCAAAATGCAATGAAATGTTAACTTTCCGAATCCTAATCGTTGTTTTCTTCTGTAGGCTAGATTGGGACGCACAACAATAATAGTAGCTCATCGTCTTTCTACCATCAGAACTGCTGATAAGATAGTTGTGATAGCAGAAGGAGTTGTTAAGGAACTAGGAACTCATGATGAGTTAATGATGATGAAAGGAATTTATTATGAGCTTGTTCAAACGCAGGTAAATTACAAGGTTTTGTGAGATGAAACAAACTTCGAAATTAAAAAATACATCCTTTAACTTTATTTATTTATTGTGCTTTTAAACATGCATGTCTGCGCATGATAAATTATGTTATTTAAGTTCAAGGTGCTTTGTAACTTTTAATATGACTTATAGAATTTTTGAAGAAAGATAGCCAGAACTGTGAAGGAAACTATTGTTATAATTATGTGACTATGCGATACAAGATGAGATGGATAAGTATTTCTAGCAAAAGGTCACCTTGAGCACTTTCTGCCAAAAATAATGACAGGCATGATATGACACATATGTAAATTAAAAAGTTATTGACCATCACTAAATTAATCACGAATGATATTTTTCAGAAATAAATGACGCAAAAAGAGAGCTGGAAATATTAAATTTTTGAATCCTTGATTCTGATCCTCATTTTACTGATACCATTTATTCCTTCTAAATATCATTTTTCTTAATGTAGACATGCTATGAATGTTTTCTGTATCTCTTATAATTTCAATGTTATAATAAGAATATTCAAATTTTGCCGCTAGGTGGGTGCCCATTGAAAACATCGCGAAAAAGTCGCGAAGATAACATAAGGAGAATGCTCGTCGTACAAAACATGGTGTGAGAGAAGGAAGTAAGGAGGAAATATCTCAATCCTAAAACATAGTGGTAGTAAATAAAACAATAAAAGAACATTACAATTTTGAACTTTGAAACAAAATATCGTGGTAAAATATAAAGCCACCTACAAATCATAGATGACGATAACTTTGTGGATATGGAAGCTTTATAATAATAATAATATTTATACACATTCATTGATTTACATACTATAGTTTAACTATGTGTTGAAACCTGTTTAACATTTGTAAGAGTTTACCATATAGAGATATGAAGTTTATTAATAAATCTGAAATTTACCAAGTTGATAAAGAAAAACATTCACAATGTATTTCTGTATTAAGCACATACGTATCTAATTTCGGCTCTTCTAATGAATTCAAACAGTGGAGTGCAACAAAAATAAGTTAAAATTTAAAAGTGTAAATTTTAATTTCGTAATTTGAGTTTAAATTTTAACAGAAAAATTCTGAAGCATTAAAAACATTCCTCTCAGAATTTTTTTGTGAGGTTTTGTGGAGGGATAGTCAAGCCACATGTGTAATAAGGAAAATAATTTGAATATTTACATCTTCTCGAATGGCAATAACATGATAAAACTATGCTGATTCTACTTAATACTCAAGGAACATTTCTTTCACAGAATTCTGTATTAAATGGCTTAATTGTTAAATGTTTTGCTGTAGGCAAAAAGTAGTAGTAATTTCACGCGTTAATTTTTGACGAAAAAAGTATCTTTAGTTCTATAAAAATAAAAATATGTATTTTCTCTAAACGTATAACCTTTGTTGAAACTAAATACAGTAAACAAAAGAATAAAATTATTTCATATACATTATAGTAAATGTATATTTGGCCGACATAAAAAAGACGAACTAATTATCCGGATGGGTTGCGATCTTAGAGGTTTACATACAGAAGTTCTCCTGTGCATTTTTATGAAGAATAATAGCTGGCGATTAATACTCAGTTAACCTATCACAATAATGATCCATTGTTGCAGATGATATTGTCCAAAAAATGACATGTATAAAAAATTGTTGCAGCCTTAAAAAGAAGAAAAAACTGCATGCGTTGTAACGAATCTGAATAATCCCATCCAAAGGTGAGAGATAAAAGAAGTCCTCAATACGGCGTTTTATCTGCAACCAAGGGCATAACATATCTTTATCAAAAATACGTAAATGGAAAACCTTGAAAAATATTTTAGCAATCAATCTTCTTCGCTATTCATATTTAACATAGCTAGCAGTTGGTACTTCCAGTTTTTTTCCAGTTTTCCAGCTTTTTCGTGTTCTGAAATCACAGAGGAAAACTATAGTTTGTATTTTTCGTATGTAATTAACAATATTGCTTAACTAATAATATACGTTTGTAAAAGGCACACTCCATCTTAAATGAAATGCATTGAACTTAAAGAAAATGTTTTGGCTTTGATTCCGAAGGTCAAACTACATGTGTAATAAGGAAAATAATTTGAATATTTACCAAAGGAAAAAAACTAAGTGTATTTCAAGAAACAATCCTAACCAAAGCTATATTATAAGTTTTTATTTTAACTAATGAATTAAATTTAATTAACCACCTCTTTCACATTTTCCTTAGACACCCACCGATTCTCTTCAGAAAACGGAAAGTAACTCAATGTGTGCGAAGCTGATCTGCTTGTTAAGATAGAGTGGAAAAAAGAATATTGACTAAGCAATGTTTTTTTTTTTTTTTTTTTTTTTTTTTTTTTTTTTTTTTTTTTTGTTGTTCCCATGCAGACTGTTTACTTACGAACTGGAACAAACTAACTTACTGCAGCAAAAATGAAATTTCTGACATCAGTAACAATGAAATTTTTATTGAAATAGATCAGAAAAGTTTTCGAAACTACGTGCTTTTAATCTACAAATAGAAATTTTTAGTTTTAATTAATATTTTAAACATTATACAATGTTAATGTTTTGAATCAATATTAAACATTGTATAGGTAGCTTTCTATGGCGAGGTTAACGAGTCTTAATTTTCACTTTAGCTCAGCTAATATGTATAAATATCACAGTGACGGAATGTTAAATAAATTGTACTATTAAAACCGAATTAGCTAGCAGTTTTCATAAGTTTCTATCCTTTCCGTTAAAGTTATAAAGATTATTAATGATAACTGAATAAGCATAATTAGACTTCAGTAAAAAGGAATTGGAATTCGAAATTTAGTTTTCATCATCCAGGAAAAATGTTGTTATTTTCACTGGAAGGACTTTTTTTCTTAGTCTCACCCGAAGAGATAAATACTAAAAACTATTGCAGACAGAAGGAAATTTATCTCCTTTATTTATCTTTTATTTGCCTTCCACACCCAAAAGGTCAATTGCTCATCAGTGTAACAAATGAATGATTTAAAAATAATTATATATTTTTTAAAAAAGAATTTCGTCATTTTATACAATTGGAATAATAAATAAAATAAATTTATAGCATTATAAAATAAATCGATTGCAAATTTCTAGCTCTGTTTCTTGTGTATACTGCTGTTATACTTCAGTGTCCGCTGAGTTAAAAACATAATCTAATGACAATGAGTAAATAATAGCAAGAGATTCCGATATTCTCTCTCTATTTTTTAATTTTATTTAAATGATAATGTTCTCTTTAATATTTTACTTTCAAAAAAGGAAATAAAAACTAAACGCTGAGATTTTAAAAATCATTTTCTAAAGTCTTATTTTGTGGGGTTTCTCTTAGTTATTTAACCTATTATTCAAATTATTGTCATCATTTCTGAACTCCTCAACTTCTTGTCGCGTTTCCTCGCCAGGATGTAAATTTAAACTGGTGAATTTTGGAGTTTATTCAGAGCGTGCTTTCACTAGCCAGCGCACGTTTCGTTTATGATCTTGCTGTTACGTTAATACGCACCATGGCCATTTCGAATAATTGTCACGCCTGTTAGGTTTGTTGAGTCAGACTAAGCTAGCCGTGACTTAACGTACTAATCCCGCACTATTCTACGTTTAAGTTCCACGTTTAAGTTGTTTGTGTTATTGTAAAGCACGAAGTACTTGCCTTCTATTCAGAGTTGGAAATAATAAAGGGTTATTTTCACCCTTCTTCTGTGCTGGCAATTACTTCACACCTGTACGAGAATTCGCGAAGTCCATTTGTAGGATCTAGATTAGTTTATGTGGAACAGGAGAGTTTTTTTTTCAATTGCAGATTGTGAACAGTTACAGTGTAACACACAGTCCAATTAATCTATACAAGGCCAGATGTTGTGGTCTCTTTATTATTTAGGCACCTAATAGGTGGGCCACCATCGCTTCCTATGAAGGGACGGACAGTTACAACCATGCCTTCTCCAGGATTCGAGCCCACGCCCTTATCGCAGTCAGGCTTCCTAACCACTATACCGTGTGATCGGCGGAACAGGAGAGTTAGATCTTATAATTTTAGTAAAATAAATAAATAAATAAATAAATTTGCAAAATAAATAAATAAATAGCTTAGCAAAATAAATAAATAAATAAATGTAATTTTATCAATTCGAATTGCCGTTAATATTTTTATTTATTAAACGGTAAAGTCCGCTGTAAAATAGTTGGTCTTTAATTTTATAAATATAAATAACAGTCCAGAATTTTGACGTTGCAGGTTTTTTTTTCCATTTAAGCGTAAATAAAACTCTTATTCTGCTTTCATATTAAACTCCTAAATTTCTACAGTCTTCAACTACTGATCCCTTTCTTTCCTGCTTTATATTTGAAAGCTAACAGCGAAACAGTAAATCACAACGATCCTTAAATTTGGAAGTGGAGATTACAATCTGCTCCATGCCACAATAAAAGTTTCATGACTCAGTGTTTGGCTCACACAGCACTGAGTTTGTAATCGCATTCAGTTGTGATTTGTAGCCATATGTCTTTGAATTAATATTTAGGAATAAGCTGATCTAATTTCAGCGTTAATAATTTGATCGGAATCTCTCCAACACGGTATGAGTCTTGTTAGCTTTGTAAGCAGTTAGTTATTGTCAAATAACTAACATTAGCTGTCATAAATATTTATAAATATTTATTTGTGCTTTTGTAAAGAAATGGATTGCATAATTTATTTGATTACTTTATTTAAAATAGTCATTGATACTCATTATTAAAAAATTTATATAATATTTTTTTCTTTTTGGTTATTGTGCTATTCAAGTTAAGATGTACGAGTAAGGTAGCGTTTATATGTAGTCAACTGCGCATTCAGCTGAGTAATTACCAATTCAGATGTTAGTTGATGTGACATGACCTATTAGAACTAATCTAGCTCTGAAATTTAATTTTTATTCTGTTTTCGAACAGACAAATGAAGCTGAAGAAGAAGAGGATGAAGAAATAGATGAAATAGAAGACCTGCCCGAGCTTGAAAGAAGAATAAGTGTTCTCAGTGGAGGTTCAAACGCTTCAGATGAAGCACTCCCTGCGTATGAACGCCAAGTATCGCGTCAAAGCAGTCGTCTTGATCGGCAAACATCAGCTACCAGTGGTTACGATAGACAAATATCAGCTGGAAGTGGAAGTGATCGCCGAAAGTTTTCAGTTGAAGTTAAGAAAGATATCGCGTTACTGGTAAGTTTAATTTACTCAGTACTACACCACAGGATCCATATTAACAACGTTTTATTTATCCCTAGATTAATTCCGAGTTATGAAAACAGCCATCGGATCTTTATGCTTAACAAGATGTCAAATTCGATACGCGTCAAAAAGTAATTTAATTAAAATGTTATTATTTTGGATGTATTTTTATAACAAGTTTATTTGTAAGAAGGAAACGAAGATGTGGGACATTTTTAGCGCTGTTATATTAAAAGAAATTTTTGATGACTTGTACTCTGTGCATGAAAATATCTTCATCTAATTATGATTTTTGTATCAAAGTAAGAAGCTGCTTTCGATGACTTGTACCCTGCGCATGATATTATCTTCATCGTATTACAATCTTTATATCAAAGACTTTTATATTGCCGGAAATCATTTGAAGCGATTAATAAATAAAACATTTGGTAAAGGATATTATGGATCAGTTAAGTGGAAATCTGAAATACAACTTATTCAAAATATGCATGTATCAACTCCTCTCAAATTTACCAATGTTGTTTTCAATATTTTAAAATAGTGTGCCTGACGTGCATTTAATTTTTTTAATAATAATCTGCTATAGGGAGAAGACGAAGAAAATGAAAAGGCTTCTCCATCTCAAATGCGTCTTCTGAAAGTGTCAGCGCCAGAATGGCCCTATGCTGTAGTTGGAGGTATATCTGCTATACTCATGGGACTACACTTCCCTCTGTTTGGCGTGATCTTTGGCAATATACTTGGAGTAAGTATGCTTTATTTTAAATGGACACGTCTTCCACTATCCTTTAAGTGCATACTGTTTTAAAGAAAAGTATTACAAGTTTCTGGTAAATATATTATATATACCTAATTTCTTTTTGAAACGTTGTGAGCTGTTTGCTGTGAAAATTTGCTGTGTTGTGATATGTTTGTGAGCATTTAGTTTCTATATACAGCGTGTCTACAAATTTTTAAATTTTATAGAAAATTGAAATTTAAGTAAATAGTTTTTTCTGTCAAAACCGTAAAAAACAACCTTATATTTAGCGTAGGTATAATGAAACACTCAATCGATTTCGAGGGCAGCTAAAGGTCCCTCCTCATCAGGAGAAAGAAATACATAGAAAGAAGAAAATAGGAATCACAGAAACACGTGGCAGCACCACGTGTTTCTGTGATTCCTATCGATTGAGTGTTTCATTATACCTACGCTAAATATAAGGTTGTTTTTTACGGTTTTGATTGTCACATTAGCGTGTTTCTCTTCTAGTCTAGTTTTTTCTGTGTTGCAATTCGTTAAAAAATATGCTGTTGTGTGCATATTCATAGAGATAGAAGGGCTTGTATAATTCAAACTTTAAATTTCATTTTTTATCCTTGTCACATTTTCCAAATTAATTGAAGGATTTTCAAAATAATAGATTTCAAGTGGTATTTCTTTGACTGTTAAGACTTTTGAGAACATGAGATATAAAGAAACAACTACGTTCTGGTCGAAATTCAATTATGGATCTGCTAATGCTGGCTGTATTTGTTATATTTTCATATTTGTTATCATATGGTATATATATATCGTATGGGTATATATACCATAAGATTCTATGATTGCGTAGTCAGTTGTGGTACATGAATTAAAAATTACTTTTTTCTTTTTGCAATTTTTTAAATTACAATGACGCATCATATTCCTTATGACGTTCAATATGCTTTTATACGAATTGTCAAATGATATCATGAGTAAAATAATACACTACTCTGGATCTAACTTAACTGGCATCGGAAACTTCCGCTAGTATATAATATATATATATATATATATATATATTAGAAAAGATTTTTCATATATTATCTCTAAATATATATATATAATATATTACAAAGCGAGCAATAAGTCAGAAGCAATATATATATATATATACAGGGTATACGGTAAATATATATACAGGGTGTACCACTTACCCCTGACATTTCAGACATGGTTTCCTATGCAATTCTTAATCCTGATGACGTGCTCTACCTCCTCTAGAAGTTTGTCGCAACATTTACGGTACATACACACTGTATATATATATATATATGTATATATACATAAATAATTATCTATTTTCTAATAGATTATTTAACATGTTATCGCCTTTGAAAAAAGTATATAAATGTATTTACAGCACACGTATATATCAAGATTTTAAAAAATTTATATACTTTTATTAGGTACTAGCGTTACCTATTGACGAAATTCCTGAGCAAAGAGATTTCTTTTGTCTTCTATTTTTACTAATGGCTATAACATCTGGTGTATTCTCTTTCCTTCAGGTAGGTAATTTTGGCTGTTTATGTATACACATGTTTCAACTCTTTTATTTATATGTTACAGGTTTAATACATTTTTCCCATTATTTTGTACCAAAATGTTTGCATTTGTTAACGAAAACTATAGTCTGAAAAGATATTTTTGTACTTTTCACTTAATTTAAATTTCGAGTTTAGATTTTTAAACAATAAAAAAATTATTTTATTAGATATTCATGTTTTCTATTGCTGGAGAAAAATTGACTTGCAGATTGAGACAAATGGTGTTTGCCAATATAATCACTCAAGTAAGTTGACATATTTTAAAATACGTATGCATTTTTTGTTTCTCTTAAATCCTGCTTTTGAATTATTCAGTATCACAAATAAAATGGCTGATTTTAATTATTTTCGAATATGTTGTAGTGTTTCTCCCTTTTATTCTACTAAACTAAGTCCTGAGGAACCTATTGAGCAGCTAAGGGAATAATCGCTGATATCCAAGAACAAAAACATGAACTCAAGAAGGGATAATTATCTTTTATTTGCTCCAAGTAAAGATATACAGTCGGTCCCTTTCACAGCGCCTAGAACTCCACTTGGGTTTTACTTAAAATGTGAGAAATAAGAACTAACTAAAGAGACTTAACCGAAGCTAACACAATTCTAAGCTAGTTGACCCGTAATATTAAACTAGCTAGCGAAGCTAATACGGCCTAGCGTAGTAACAGTTAGAGAGTGTGGCTAAAAGGCAAACGCTGTTCAGGAATCCTAACCCTCTCTCTCGAAGTCAGTGGAACTTTGACTTAAATACTTTCTACTTCTCTTTTGCATTTAACGTGAGTCTATAAACTCATTCTGCTAAGGAATGGTAAGCTGAAGCTAGAAGAGATAGGAAAGTTTATAAACTTCAAATAACTGTTATAAAAGTAGAATATACTTTACAGTGTAAAATTATCTGAGCTAGGCAAATCTCGTCGAGAGCCAAATATCCATGCATATCTTAGTTATATATTTAAAAATTAAAGTCAGTGTTAATTATAACTTGCTGTTACGTTTATAAAAATAACAGTTTAAAAATGCATATGGTTTCGTCTATTTACCCGAGATCTGTATTTTACACTTTTTTCTATAAGTTTTATGCTCCTGAAAAGCTTAGATTATAATCCACCCACTTATTAAATCAAGTGCACAGCAAAAAATAACTTTCTTATTTATAATATGATATTGTTTTAAGCTTTATTCTCAGAATATATCCTCTCTCTATTCTACGAACAGAGCGATTGTGAGCCTAAACATGCATGCACAGTTTGCTACAGTTAATTTCTAAAACCGAGTACCTAAATACTTACATTAAATATCACGAATATGAGAGGAAAAAAACGGCAGTTGTATAAATACATTCAAGAAATGGGATTTCGAAGAATTATAGGCGAAATATGAATAATTTCAACTACAGATATCGTTTCACATTCTGTGTATTTCCCAAACTTATGTTTTATATGCGTTTTTTCTGGCTGGTATTCTTGCCATTTGGGTCTAAATGTGTTAGTAGAGATAGAATCGGGCTATGCGTGGTCAGATTCTAAGGTATTTCTCCCACCTTCTTAGCATCCTTCGTAGTGTAGTGATCTTTACGCTGGGCGCGTATTCCAGAGGTCCGTTGTTTGATTCCCGGCGAGGGCGTTGCTCATTTTTCACTTCTTCCTGTTTCAAAAGTAACCTAATGTCTACACAAGATAATATATAAACCTTTGCTTGTTCACCGGTTTGATCAAGATACTTTAGAATGATACGTAACTAATAAACTTAAATTTTCATAATCACGACTGTAAAGCAACAAATTTCGATCTTATACGTTCTCTTTGGTTCCTTAAATACCCTTCTAAAACTATAGAATATAACCCTTTCTTACATTGTTTTTTAAAACCTTTTACTGTGGAAATAAACGGAGCTCTGTGTTTAACTTTTTTACATTTTGCTTGAAAATTTGAAGTGAAATATCTTAGTGCTGAACTTCTAAATAAATGACATAATTTTGCCATTTTTCCGCAGGATATAGCTTTCTTTGATCATCCAAAAAACAGTGTTGGCTCTTTATGCGTCAGGTTAACTTCTGATGCTTCGAGTGTTCAAGGGGTAAGTTCTAAATTTCTAAATAAATTTTAAAATAAGAATATCCGAGTTTGACATAATATATCGAGTATAATTTAATATTTTAATTACTTCTAATATTTATATCGCGTAAAATATTGTTCAGATTGTTTCTTTTGAGACCCATAAGTGTGTACAACATTCTTCGTTTCACTTTAGAGTATGCGTGCATATCATATCTATGAAATGTTTTGGTACTATGCGTAATGAAAAAAATTGAACTCCCTTATTATTCTCAATTAATATTTTTCTTTTCTTTCCATTCAATTTAAATATAATAATGGTAACTGGTACATAGTTTTCGATTTCATAAAGTTAGTATCTGAAGAACTTCAACTGTTACATGGACTCACGCAATACATTTATTGACGTATAAAAAATGCAATGATGTAAAATTTGTTATTTATTTGATTTTATGCTGCATTCTTGCTTATATTCTGCTTTCGTATATTCAAATGATTTTAAAGAGAAAATTGTGCGCCTTTCCTTTATTTTCCTGTTTTTAGCGTTGTTTCTTGCTTTCACACATTTTAAGAAAAAATACAAAAACTAAATAAGCATTAAACTAAGCATTCATTCCAAATTGTCATACGATTTTTGCGCTAATAAAAATCTGTAATTTTGACTTGCATTTAATTAATGTTTTATTATTACACAGGCAACAGGTTCGAGGATTTCCACTCTTCTTCAAGCCATATCAACTCTCATCGTAGCTATAACACTGGGAATGTGGTACAACTACAAAATTGGTTTAGTGGTTTTATCTTTCATCCCCTTTGTACTATTAGCTACATATTTTGAAAGCCGTATTGTAAGTGGTCACATGGCCAGCGAGAAAACAGGATTCGAAGATGCTTCAAAGGTATTAAACACACTTCTGTAAACATTTTTTTGAAATTACTGTAATTCGTATTGTAAATGGTCACATGGCCAGCGAGAAAACAGGATTCGAAGACGCTTCAAAGGTATTAAACACATTTCTGTGAAAATTTTTTGAAATAGATATTTTTTTTTCTGATTCGAATAGCCTACGGAATTAATATCTGCATTAATAACAACATTACTGAAACCTATTATTTTAAAATAGGCACTTCAAGGCTTCTCACCCTCAAAAATCATGCCTCATAACAATGGTAACGACCGCTGCGGGAAAAATATTGAATCCTCTAAATATGCTAAAATCGACTTTTTTCTTCTGTGTGGCGATGACTACACACATTACGATTCGTAAATGATGGGAGGGTCGCTACGACCTTCAGGTGCCTATTTTAAAGTAATAGACTATAGTATATTTCAGAAAATCATTGAAAACAAGTCTTTAGAAGTTATGAAATACTTCGAATAGCATTGCGATTAAGTTTGTGTATTATAAAGTAAATTCGAATTTCAGTGTATTGAAATACGAGTTTATAAAAATTCATGATAGACGAATGTATTATAAAAGAGAAATTTGGCTAAAAATAAATTTCTTTTTAAGAAATTTCTTTAGCTTTTTAAAATATATTTAAGTATTTATAAGTTTGTTAAACAGCACTTGCAAAAAGTGATTTGCCTAAAATAACAAATGTTTTCGGGTGATATATGCTCATTCACAGAATAGCTTTAAAAAAACGCAACTTTTAACATCTTGATAAAAACAGTTAGGTTTTAAAGAGTTTTGCAAAAAAAAAAAAAAAAAAAAAAACGCAAATAACTGGTAACATCAAATTTCCTCTTGCGTTTTTGCCACTTGTTTTCGCTTATTTTGCCGTATGAAAATCTACCAGGGAAAATTGCTTGGAGCACACTTCTTCGGAAGAGGGGTATATATGTGCAATTAAAGTAAGTTCTGATAACGTTAAATTTTTCAGTATTTTTTTTATTTCTGTATTATACATTGCCCCTTATTATTCAGGTTAGGGAGAAAAGCAAGCTTCTAATAAAGCTATGTAAGTAAAATTTGGAGATTTTTGTTACTGGTAATGGGTTACAGCTATAAGTTTCAAAAGGATCTAAGGTAGGAGAAAATTGTGCAGTGTATTTACTGAGCTCACAAAATCCTATTGTAACGTATGATTATATATAATGAACTGTCGGGGGAAAGATAATGAGATGACAACCTACCCTCGCATTTATGTTGAGCATTTGGAAGAAGGTTATTCGCACGGAATTTGAAGATGTACAAGGTCTGTCCCGAAAGTACTGCGCCACATTTTCTTCGGCCGCGACTATCCGTCGCACAGCGTTGCCGCTCACACGAAAGGGTGGGTGGTGTCTTGGGAGAACAACACCAGTCGGCTCCGAGCGCCTGGAGAGTCACAGTGCCTATTTCAGTGAACACTTGTGTGAGTGCTCGGTCAAAATCAAGATGGAAAAAACTCTCGAGCAGCGATACACAAAGTTTTGTTTCAAACTTGAGAAAACACCGTCGGAGACTTTTGGGTTGCTTCAGTCCTGATTTCTCCCTGCCCGACTTGTGTTTCTTCCCGAAGATTAACAAATTCCTCAAAGGACAGCATTTGGGGAACCTGGAGAACATCAACGCGGCTACGACCAGGTTACTAAAGGACATCCCTGCGATGGACTTCCAGGACGCATATAAAGCATGGGAATCGAGATGAACAAGTGTGTTAAAGCAGGACGGATGTATTTCGAAGAATATTGAGTAATTGTACTAATCGGTTCAATAAATTTCTTTAAAGTAATGGGCACATTACTTTCGGGATAGCACACCTTGTGTTTCCTTGTATTACTTTCGGGACAATACACCTTGTATTTCCGCCTATCCTCATCAACTTTTACCGGAGACTAAATCTCCCAGGACACTGGGATACTAGTATTCACAATAAAGTTAGCACTACAAATAAATGAATCTTAATACTTCAAGTTCACTCCATTAGTAATATATATATATATATAGAGAGAGAGAGAGAGAGAGAGGACGAGAGAAAGGGTACTGTTGGTTCACACTTTAAAAGGTTTCAATGAGAAGCCTTGAAATTTATATACAATCAATACTAGTTTTAAATAATTTCATGAACTGCACATTCTTCCGGTCGGATCCAACTTCCTGAATTGAAAGTTCTCTATTGTACGTTAAAAGCCTAGGTGCAAATATAAGATTTCATACAGACCTTTTAATTGTATGCTTTCTTTACAAATTTTAAAAAGGAAAATGTCAAGGGAAATGGATGAGATTAAAGATGCTTTTCCTTTAAATCTATCACCTTGATGGTACGGTTTTCACTCTATTCTATCTGCTTTTAATTCCAAGTTTTTCTCTTAATCCTTCCGCTAGTTATTATCGACACCATTTCTCTTAAATTTTATAAGAGCCTCAGACGCGGTATCATGTGAAATTGAATGCAGAGCATCTGAACCGTATTTCATTCTTTCGGTATTCATTTAAACATCTATTGAAAATAAAATGTCGAGACGACCTAAGAAATCGGATGAAATTAATCAAAATTTGCCTGAAATAAGTTCAGGACAAAGTACACAAATGCTTAAGTAATCATAATCAGTATCTAGACAGAGATACAAAGCAGCCAAAAAAGAACATTCAAAAATACGAATATCAAAAATAAAGTAAGGATTATTGTGAATAGAATGCAATTGTATGAATCGCTACAGTTTTTAACGTTGCCTCTATATCGAATTCGAGGATAATTCCACCAGTTCAGTTAGATGAAAAAAAACGAATTATTATGTGAAAGAGGTAAACAAATTTAGATTCCATCAGCCAGGTGTTATGTCGAACCGGTCCAATGGATGCTGGAACCAGTTGAATCATAAAAGAATCATAAAAAACATAATCGAGAGATACACGCACATTGCAGGGCTTAAAAAGCGTTCTGAGTATGTGCGTGTTCTCTGAGAGCTACAACTACTAACATTCAAATTTACAAGTAAAAGATCTAAATTCATATCCATCTTAGTTGAAGTTTCTTTTCAGCTATGATAAATTTAAATCTGTGTATTTGTTGTGACCTTTTGTTGGAATGTATTTAAACAAAGGAATTCATTACTGCAGTTAAATAAACTCTGAAATAATTTTATTTACGTTGCATTTTCAGGTTGCAATAGAAGCACTTGAAAGCATTAGAACAGTTGCATCACTGCACCAAGAGAAAAGATTTTATGCCAAATTTAGAGATGCACTTCTCGCTCCTCACAAGTGAGTACTTTAATCTTTAATGCTACATGTTACAGCGCACATACATAACACAAACTAACTAAACATTATCTATATATTCATCGTGCACTATGTAAAAATATACATCGTTTCATCGATTCTTTTATATCGGAGATTGTACTGTTAAAAATTGAAAAATTTAACTCACAACATTTATATTTTCACTTTTGTAGCAGATAAGTTTTACGGGCTAGAAAAGAAATAACGTTTATTTCTAATTAAATGAAGAAAGATGCCAGCGAAAGCATCGATGATTAATCAATCCCTTTGCCGCATAGTGCTATGAGATACTTAAGTTCAGAAGTCCTAAAATGAACTTGTCAACTTCTTAACATCTAAAATTATTAAAAGTAACCTCAGTCGGGAACTTCAAAGTGCCCCATGTTTTCACTAATTTGCGGTATAATACGAGATGCCCCTAAAGTTGACTAACTGAGGAAAGTTTATAGATACGTAAAAAAAATGAACTACGAAACAGGAAACTTGCTGAGTTAAACATTTTTGGAGTTTTTATGTCTTTTATAAAATAAAAGGTTCAGTTTATCAAAGGGCCTTGGGGGAAAAAAATTCTGAAACTGCTGCACGAGAAAAGTTTTGATTTAACAAAATGTCGTGGGCAAAGATATGATGGTTCAGCAGTAACGAATGAGGCATACAATGGTGTGTAACAACGTATAACAGGGAAAACCGGACATGCGTTTTTTTGTTCATTGTGCGAAATATAATCTAAATTTAGCTTCTTTGAAACAGTCGAAAATGCTTATTGTTATTTTGATCATAATATTGTTCGCTTGGAAAAACTGAAAAACGTATAAAAGAATGGGATCACATAACATTAAATTGATACAAAAAGTTCTATTACTATTCACAACTTTATAAACAAAATTAGTATAATGCAGAAATTTTAGTAATTTGTTTTTAAATTTTAAAAACATACAATACGGCTCACGCGATTTTTAGCGTGCATGGAATGAAAATATGTAAATTGTAAACAATATTACTCTCTTACAATGCTATAAACCTGCAGTGCCATCTAGGTGTAAAACGAAACGTAAAATATGAATATTAATATATTCTTAGCCTAAAGGAGAAAAATCGGGATCCATACTGAAAATAAGAGAAATTAACTTACGGACGCTATTTTCACTCCCGTATTACGAGACGGATTTCGTATCCCGTGGAAATCGCGGGCGCCGTCCGCGAAGGGTTAAAGCAGGCCTTGGCAACCTATGACCCAAGAGTCACCGAAGAGCCCATTTCATAATTTCAAGTGACCTACTTCAGTTCCAAAATAATGTAGAATTTATAAAAGTGAATTATGAAACCTAAATATGAAATGAATACTTGAAATAATAACAATAATATTTTTGTTTGATTATAAAGATGCGTTGTTAATTTAAATGATAAAAATTGTAACATAATTTCAAGAAGAAATCGTTAAGTTTGGCAACGGCGTTTAATAACTCCTTGATAGACATCTAGAAAACACTAATGTTTCGATCTAAGTTCACTTTCAGTTGTAGCATTTGTTCAGTAGTGCAACAATAAATTCAGTAGAGAAGAAAAGTAATAATTAAGTAGCTTTGGCATTCTGTACGCATTCTGTTTAACTTTATAAATGCTGGCATATATTTTCAGACTTGAAATTTATTGTACGTAAGAACAGGGCAGCTTTGGTGCGAAAATTTCAGATACTTGTATTCGTCTCAACTAACTGTAAGCCAAATTTGACTAAACTGATATCACAAATCCAGCATTAGGAGAGCTCTTAATAAGAAAAATAAAGTTCATTCAATTATCTTTGTTTTTATAATAATTGTTATTTTAATTTTTATCTTTAAAGTTTAAAGCGTATTGTAATTATTTTCTCAATAAAATTCGTCTTATTATTCACCAGAAAAGACTGTGTAAAACTAAAATATTACTGACCCGAAATGTGTTCGTAATACACTTATTTTGGCTGATTTTGACCCGCAGTCAAAAAAAGGTTGCTGACGCCTGCCTTAAAGCGTAGGTTTGTTTGGGTTATGTGATTGTGGCAAAGCCTCGCGGGCTGCCTGTCTAAGGGGAGGGATGCCTTCGTGGAGGACTTCCTAAAGGAACTGGCTCTTATCCACATTAAACATGGGGAATACCGCGAAAGCGCCCATGCAGGAAGCCCGTTTGCGGGATTTGAACCTTGAACCGAGCTACCAGTGTTCAGCGATTTTACCGCTCGGCCGCTGGTGAGCCATTAAAGTATAGATTTGGTGGTGTGATGAAATGTCTGAACCGCATAGTTCTGACTAGATAAAAAAGCAAGGAAACAAATGAAGTGATACAAGTAAAGACAAAACTGAAAATATTTGTCATTATCCTACTCTGAGTTAATCCTAAAGCTAATTTGCTATAAATCCCACTCTGAGTTAATCCTGAAATCCTAAAGCTTCGCAATAAAGAAGTTTTAAGATTCCTAAACGTTGTTTTAAAGTCTTTGCAATTGTAGATCTATTACCACCAAATGTATTACTGGAGAATGCCTTTGCCTAAAATTGTCAAACTGCGATGAAAATTTGGAGATTTGGTTTCTGTCGCTTAACAAACAATCGTCTTTCAATGGATCCCTTCACATGTAGGTATCAACGGTAACGAAAAGGCAGACTCACTAGCCAAGAGAGGAACACTTGCGCTACAAGACAGCATCACATCATTTAGAGTCACTTAAAAAGCAAATTTTTGAGAAATTAGTGGATACTCTTAAATCTGACGAGGCAGCAAAAGCAACAGGCAAATCCTGGGCGAACATTCAAGACACATGGAAAATTTTTTGTCAAAAACCTCATAAAGAGACTGTGGCAAAGTTCAGACTGCAAACATGTCACGATTGCATGGCACATCATCTTAATAAAATTGGCATCCTTCCATCTAGTATGTGCCAAATTTGAAATTCGGTCATCATGGATGCAGAGCATCTTCTTATATGCCCATAACTAGATAAAGAGTCTCAGAAACGTGATGAGATAAGTAAACTATGCTGGAATGCCAGAGCTTTCATGAACTCCTTGTAAAGATTACATCTCTTACGTCCCTTTACTTGTTTAAATTTTTAACTTTTTAATTTTGCTCCCATGTTCATTTATTCTGATTTTTACTTTATAAATGTTCTTTTTTATTATTCATCATTGTTCATGTGTGATACTTGAGCTGTTTCATAAGCTTAGATTAAAATTTAATATGTTTAGATTGTTACAAATGTTGCTGTAGAACTTTAGCATGCATTAGGTTTCATTTGTATTTAAGACAATAGTAGAAAGATAAGGTAATTAAATTTAGATAGAAATTTAGGTAGGAAATTTAAGTAAAATGCAGCAGATGCGGCAGAATTATGGCGTTAGCAACATCGTTTATAGATTATAATAATAATTTAGGTATTAATTACTTTTAATGCAAAATATTATGAAGGAGTGTAGAATATTTTATAGCCTTTTCTACTAATTCTCTTTTCAGAAAATCTAAACTGAAATCACACATTAGAGGAATAACTTACGGTTTTGCACAGGCTATCCAGTCTTTCGCTTATGCAGCTGCTATGTATTATGGAAGTATTTTAGTCGCCAACAATGAACTTAGTTATGGAAATCTCTTAAAGTAAGTACCTTAAATATTTTACAAGATTTTATTTAACTTGGTTTCTCCGGTTAATTCCCCCCCCCTCTCTTGAATTCTTGAACTGAAATCTTGAAATTAATTCTTTACCCTCTTCTACCGACCTACTTCTTTTGAAATTTTTCGCATGTGTATACAATATACTACAGGAATTTTTTCAAAATTTGTTATGGTTCCTTTTTTACTGAATATTTTAATACATATTTTTTTCCGTACTTCCTTCTTTCGCGGTCACATTGTGGTGTTCCACCCTTTTATCTAACAACTAAATGTGGAGGACCCTAATGACCAGCTAAGCGAATAATCGCTTTAGTTCAGAAACAGAGACGTAAACTCGAGAAGGGTTAATTACCCTTTATTGTTCAGAATAAGAGTTTAACAGAAGGCCTTTTCTCAGGGCTTACAGCAAACCCTCCACTTGGGCTTGAACCAAAATAATAAGACTTAACTAATGCTTAACTAAAGAGATATACCTGAAGCTATCAAAATTCTAAGTAGTTGGCCCAAATAATAAATAAATATCAAATAAGCTAGCGAAGCTATCAAGGGCCTGTAATACGGCGGAGCATAGGAACAGCTTAGACAGACTTAGCCAAAAAGCAAACGCGCGCTAGTCAGACACTCTGAGGCTCTCTCTCGAAGTCAGTGGAACTTCAACTTAAATGCTACTCTTACTCATTTGCATTAAATGCGAGTCTAAAAGCACATTCTGGTACGAAATTGTAAGCTGAAATTAAGGACAGAAAAGTAGTAAACTAAACTACTTTACTAAAATTAACTGTTAGAAACATATTAACTAAAATTAACTGTTAGAAACATAGGATAAACCTTACAACATTAATAATGTCATAATTTCTATCTTTACGCTATCGGATAGACAGAAAAATAATATTTTATGTGAAAGTTTTTTAGAAATTCTAAAGAAAAGCACCGAATTTTGATAGTTTTTAAAACATAGTTCGATTTTTATTCATTAGTTTCCACGCAGTTAGTAACAATGATTAATTCTTAATTAAAGATTTAATTTTTTGCTGTTAGAATCGAACAAAAATTTAAATGAATTAAAAGTAATTTAATGAAAGTGGGTTTAAAATTTATCCCGCATTCAATTCGGAATAAGCCACATGCGAAAACCAAAGAACAGAAGCACAGTGGCAAACTGCAAGAAAAAGAAGGGCAAAATAGCCCGAAACCAAAAATGAAAATGAAATTTACATTTTTCGCTGCATCATTATCAGGGGGTTGGTGCAACCCAAAATAAATAAAAGTAAATAAATAAAATAAATAAAACAACCTGTTTCTGAATCGACAAAAACGCAAATTAAAATTTGAAATTTAAAATTTAAAAATAATATTAGAAACAACAAACAGCGTGATTTGCATCTTTATCCGTCTAGCACCTACAGGCTAACGTGAGCAGTGCCAAAAATGTAGAATAATAGCATCAAAAACAGAGACAAATTTAAAAAATTGCGAAATAATAGACAAATTTTAAAAAAGTGTTTTGAGTAAATCGAGTTAAAAATTATAGCAAAAATAATAATCCGCAGTACTTGAAAAAACAGAACACTATGCAAGTTTATTTTATCCTGAGTTGTAATTATCAAAACTATATGTGAATTTTGAAAACAAACAGGCCGAGTTAAAATAACAGCATAAATCATAACGGACCAAAAAAGCTTAAAAACATGATAATTTTTTTTAATATGAGTGGACCGAGTCCAAAAACATGTAAAACAGAAGTAATCCCAACATATGCAAAAATAAAAGAAATAAATGAAAAACTGATCTAAAATTTAAAATATATATATATAAGAACTTACTCCTCTATTTCGCAAGCACGTATAACTTTTTAGCAAACTCGCTGAAATATTTCTACCTATTATATATATAATACAAGTTTTGTTTAAAGCTTTGAACAGAGAGCTTTGACAAAATATTTTTGTGCTCGTTTTTCTAATTTTTCTGTTATTTTGAAAGGAATTTTTAATTATTAATTTATAATTTTCTTTATAACTCAAATTACATTTTGACAAAATTGCTGTTATATGGCAAATTCGTAAAACCAACAAACTGTCCGCAGAAGACATTTATTTTCGGCAATAAAAATTTATTGCAAAGGAAAACATTACTAGAAAAATAAATCCGGAAGAATTATTAATCATCAGGAACGAAAGTAATAATCTGGTTAGCAATAAAGATATGCAAAAGCTCAAAGTGTTTCTGGAATCGAAATAGGTTACTTCAAGTGTTTTAACGACTCTTACTAGGTTTCAAACTTCCTTTCGTATTTAAATTCATTTTAAATAATCAGCAGCTAAAAGCGCTATTTTTGACTAGAATGGTCATCCGGTTTTTAAATCCTTTTACTACTTGTTTTACTTACATACACAAACATATATATATATATATATATATTATACACATATACGTACATGCGTGCGAGGGGCATCTGCGCCTGTATGCGTGCGTGCGTGCGTGTGATGTGCGCTGACACAATAGTGTATCGTGTGCGTAGTTATAGTAGCACTCAATCAAGGGCGGTTAATCATTTTTTGATATTGTAATGCTGTGCTTAAACTTGTCGCAAAAGCGAGGATTTGAAGAGATGCTGGAAAATTTATCCAGGTTAATCGTTCTGAAAAAATTAAACTTGCAGCTGAGAAAAAACGCACTTCTTAACTCCGTACGTAAACTTTATTTAGGAAATCCCATTCACTTTCTATTGGAGTTGTTAAAATAATTTGAAATGTTGAAGTTACATATTGATGACACAGTTGTTAATGATGACAGGCGATACATAAAGACTTAGCTACAGTCGTGGTAGATTCTGATATGTATTTATATGCTTGATATATACAGCCACATTTAAGTTGAACAATGAGTACTTCGTTTGACGCAGTTAAACCTGTATCAGTCCTCTTGAAACATGTTTTACGTTTTTTTAAGATTTTGCGACAAGAAGGGAAGAAAGTGCAGCAAAGAAAAAGCAAGAAAAGCAAGAGAAAATGTGACATAGCTAAGATATAACTTCGGTTCAGAATAATTTAGTTTTAGCTTTATTTTGATTGGTTAATTAATAATTCTCTAAAATAATTATTGGCTGAGGTTTTTACGTAAGTGTCTGCGTCATTATTGTAAGTACCATATGATATATCACTTCTGAGATGATACAGTTTAGAGAGATTTATTTTAAGCGATTACTACTTTGAGGATAGGATAGAAATGTATAGAATTTATTCAGATTAAAGTAACGAAATAGGGAGATGCTGCAAATTGAAGTTAGAATTTTGTTAATGTATTTTTAATTTTACATGTTTATATATGAATGATTCCGTTCAGTTCATTTAAATTGCCCTTGATTGTTTTGATCTAAAATTTTACTATTGTACCAGGCCATGATGTCATTTTTAGTCATATAGTATGACAAAGAATATTTCGATAACTAAAAATTAATTTTTTGATTTTAGTAAATTTTCCTGAAATCGCGGAATCTAAATATAAATAAAATTCACATAAAAAATATTTTTTTTGAAACATATCATGCATATAAGTAAACTTTTTGCACATTTTACCCAGTTAAATTAATATAAATACTAAGCGAAACAAATGTTGTCTATGTTTTCTGGAAAAGAAATTTTATGTGAAATAAATTGCCGAAAAACGTGTGTTATTGAAGCATGTTTAATGTTTTGCTTCATGGCTACTTAAAATTAATGCAAAGAATTTATTATTAACAAAATAAAATCATAAGTCATAATATGAATAATGTACAGATTAACATACCGTATTTTACGAACGTTTTAGAAGTATTACTGATAAATGTTTTATACTGTATAATGTAATTAATAACGTAAGTAAAGAAGATAAAAGTAGAGTTATTACTTATAATTCTTATCTCAGTTATAGCTTTGACCACACTTTACTATAATATTGTTATCTAATACTATGTAGCATGTGACAGCTTCAATGAGTCTCCGTAAAGGTTGTGCATTTGTGCTATTTTTCTTTCCTGAAATGTCTTTCAAATTTCTCAGAAAATTATTTAGTTACCTAGATATATGAAGTCACTTTTAAAATTAAATCATTTATAAGCGAAAATACTGTAATGTATCCCTCTGTTTCAGTTAAAATAAATTCGTTTATGAAAAAATAAACTATTACAATTTTTTATATTTAGCATTTGTTACAGTATCAGTATTTACAGGAAAAGAAAGTGATTTTTTAATTTTAGTTCTTGTTTTGCGCAAATATTCTTTGTAGTCGTAATTACAAACAAACCCATCCGTGCCATGGAATTTCTTATGCGCTTAATTCTTAGAGAACGCCGATCCGCTTATATATGGACCTTATTTTTTTCAATAAATCTGAGCTGATCGTAGTATTTCCGTTTACTAGCATTGAGAACGCAAATTTGATTTGTATTGCATCCTAAGTGAATAGATATATAAAGCAGTGATTGAATTTTATCATTATAAAATATTCATTACACTGAGAAAAAGGAAATCTAAAGGCAATGTAAAATAAAACAATGTGTTTGGAAGCTTAAACAATGGCTTTTCACATGTAGCCTCATTGGGGCTAAAATGAATAAAATCTGTCATTAGCAGTTTGTAAGTTGTACAAATTAAATTGCACTAGAGCTTCAATTATCCGAATACTAATGAAACCTAATTCATATTAGGTAGTATAATTAATATAACTACTTTTCTTTTACAAAGTAATTTTTAATCACTTCATTTGATCTTGCGTACAGTTCTTGTGCAGCGTATTGTATATTATTATTATAATAGATTCAGCTTTTGCCCATTGATTTTACTGTTTTATTCTCCGTCCACATCTGAAAGTTGGAAGGAACATGAGAACTGTAAAAATATTGGACAGCATTCGATGACAGCATTTTTTCTACGAAGCACATATTTCAGCACATCAGTGTGCTTCTTGGCAGTGAAACCTGTATCATTCTTTTATGGATTTCAATACGCCATGTTCCTCCACTGTCAAAAGGGGCATGAAAGCAGCGGAAGAACAAAAGACGATTTAAGAAGCGTCAGGTACTAAAGAATGACAAGAATGTTTCAGCCTTGAAATATTACAGAACATCTCACTTTGTTAAACGCCTGCCCCCTTTAGAGTCGCACACGCATGTGCATCCCCTATGGCTATGACTTCTTTGCCAGTCAGCCTATTACTTGTCCATAAGTTAAAACTGTTTTATATAATAAAATTAAAATGTTCAAGACAATATATAAGTTATACAGAATGTAAACATTTTGTAAGAATATTTTTTTGTTGTTACTGTAATTAAAATGGGGACTATGCTAATTCTAATCTTTGATGTCAATGTGATAGCTCGAAATTGTAATGCATACTGAAATTCTTGTGCAGAGTTGTGGAAGGAATTCTTGTAGGTATCATGGTGGTTGGTCAGACTATTGCTTTTGCTCCAGATTTCCAAAAAGCCAAGATTGCTGCTGTCAGAATTTTTAAACTCTTGGATATCAAACCACAGATCGATGCCTTTTCAGAGGAAGGAAAGAAATTAGTGAGTATGATTTACTGAATATGTATTTATTACCATTAGAAATTATGATTATGAGTTTTTGAATCACGCTTAAAAATTTTTATAATTTATTCTAATGTGAATAAACGTATTCTGAAACGTTTGAATATAATATATTTAAATTCACCTAGTTTTCCATCGATATGAATTTTTACAAACAGATAATTTTATTTAGTATCTACTGGTAGAAAATGTTATTGCTAAAAGGTGTTGGCTAAATCACAAGAATTTTGCAATGTAAATCATAACTTTAGTAATGGAAAATTAGTAACTTTAGTAATGGTCAGAGGCTACTCCGGGCCCTGACCTCGTTTAAAGTATACAAAATGATAGAATAAGTTATATATAAATAACGTTTACCAAATTGACTTGAACATATATCATTTTCGGAAAATATGGGAACTGGATAAGCAACAGGCACTGTTTTATTGTTTGCTATTACTATAATTAGTATCAGTATTTCAGCAGTAATTTCTACAGAAAGGAAGTTTGAGAGAATTAAACCTTGCTTCTATGCTGACTTTGAAATTGACTAGTGAAAATAAAAAGCATAGTTTCATATTGAATATACCTTCTGTTAGTTTTAAAATATGATAATTGGTTATTTTTTTTTACGTTTTAAATGGCTAATACTTCTCCAAAATTTTATTTTTCAGGCCAATGTGAATGGTGACATTCGATTCAGCAGAGTTCGCTTCAACTACCCTAGCCGGCCGGACGTGAAAATCTTGCGAGGTCTCAGTTTAGAGATCGAACCCGGGAAGACAGTGGCTCTGGTTGGAAGCAGTGGTTGCGGAAAGAGCACTTGTGTCCAACTCATCGAGAGATTTTACGACGCGCAGCAAGGAAAAGTAGTAAGTTAATAACAATCAATTAAAATTTTTCGGTGCAATTTTTATATTGGTTATTCTTCTATGCAATAGATGGCGCCACATTCAAAAAATATTTAGATGCTAAACTAGAAATGAAAATTTGGATGTGCTTTCAAATTTAACAAAAATATATTTCTTATCATTGTGCAGTTAATTTTAATTTTTTTAAATAATCTTTTTACCTTTATTTTCTATGAATTAATTTTTTATTCGGTGCTTAATAAAGACGTACAATTAGTATTCTAATTATGTTCGTTTTGCTGAGTTGCCTCTCTTGCATTCTGCAATGCAGAACAAATACAGTTTTAATTCTCGTAAATTCTGTAGACTTGTTTTTTTTTTGTTTTTTTTTTTTTTTTTTTTTTTTTTTTTTTTTTTTTTTTTTTTTTTTTTTTTTTTTTTTTTTTTTTTCCGCTGTGCTGCTGCACCAGCTCTATATATTTATATAACGTATTCGAAGTTTGTCTTCAATGTATCGACTTTCCTAAGACTATTTTAATTTAATAAAATAAAGATACACCAAGGTTTAAATTCTGGTGCACAAGAAAATCCAGCTTCGTCTTGATATTAATTTAAAAAAAAAAAAAAAAAGTCTAGTTGCATTAAAAAAAATGTGTCCCTTCGTTTTTAATAGCAAAAAGATTTTTCGCAAGAATACCGGTTCGAAATATCAGAAAACCTGTTTCAGAAAATTTTGATCCATGAAGATGGCCATCTTAAAAAAAATACCTATTGATGACGGTGATTATTTTTCTAACGAATTTACCATAAAATAATACTAAACTGAAATATAGTATGTTATATATAATATAATGAAATAAAAATACTGTATATGGGCTTATTAATAGACTATTTTGTACAATTAATCTTTAGTAGTTAATCTTTAAAGCTATTTCTTTCTATCATTTTTATTGAACTCGGCTTTTGCATATTATTTATTCCTTATTCATTATTTACTACTCATTGTCTAACTATTATCAGATTTATTTTAATCTGAAATTAATTTTTTTAGCTTTGGAGATTATTATTAGCCTTTTTATTGCGCTTAAAATTTTATTCTTATGTCATTTGATTTTTGAGAAATATCAGGCTCATTTACGACTGCCTAAAGCATTAGGAATTCAAAGATTTTTAGTGCCCATTTTCCTTGCCTTTGTAAGGAAATAAGAGAAAGGCTGATAGGAAATATTATGGAATTTAGGGACTCTTAAAACATGCAGCGCTATTCTCAGGCCTTATAGGCTTAGGCCGACCCTGGAAAATATGTTTATTCAGTTTTTCAAGTTTATCCTATTATATTTCATTATATCTTATCATATCCCATTATTTAAAAACTTATTTTACTATTCTCAAATCTATCACTTATTTCTTAAATATGGCTGTAACTTTCAATTAACTTAGCATATTATTTCTCGTATTTGTACGTACATATTCAATATTTAAATTGTTGTCGCGTAATTCATGCAAAATAGTTGCTGTTCCCTTTTTATTATGAGAGACTAACCTCTGCTATTTAGCTACTTAACGCTGTGGGAATTTGTCAAACTATGTTCATCTTACCGGGAAAAAGGCTGAATAGGAGCAAAAGCAACCTTTTCAGCCTTGTTAAGCAATTTATGTGTGTCAAGTTTAAAACCAGTTTTTAGAATATTGATGACAAACTTCTGAAATTTATATAAGTATTCGACCATAATATGTGACAGCAAAAAGTGAAATAAAAATGCTCATTTAAGAAACGAAAAAAACAGAAGAAAAAAAATGGAATTCTAAAATAAAGATCAAATGTTAATAAAATGTTTAGTTTAAATCTCATGTGTTTTATTTATTTTTTTAGTCCAAAGTAAAGTGACCACATTTTCATTGAGACAAAGCGGGACAAATGGAATAAAATGAAAATTGTAATTTAGTTATGAAAGCAGACCAATAATTCAAAAAATTATATTTTATTGTATACATTCATATACTTGTCTGTAAATATACAAAAATATATTTATTATTAGCTATTGGTAACTATAAAAATATTTGTAAAAAATTATAATTTGAATATTATGTTTTTTAATTAATTTAAAATTATGATTTTTCTTTCACGGTCATAATTTTATCCAAGTAAATACTTTTCAATAGATTCGAATCATTTATTAAAATGTCGTGAAATTTCTCACATGAATTGGTCAAATTACATTTTATCCTTAATACAGATTTTAAAGTTTCAATGTTCAACTGCGTTTTTTCAATTGTCCATATTTTATTGCTACTGGAAACTTCATTGCATGAAGTTCTGGACCTTGTTTTACGTAACATTGTAATTTATATTATAAGTCAACGATCATATTTAAGGAATAAAAGCCGAGGTCAGTGTTTTTGAGACATTCTTTATAATTATTGCTAGAAGTATTTTGAAAGGAGCATAAAAGCAGAATATAGCAAAATATTGTGAAATGTTAGATAGCAAGATATTCTTATTTAAGAATTTCTAAATAGTTATTGGTTATCTGTATTTTTATTTGATTTCGAAATCGAAAGATTAAATATCTTATAATTGTATTTAATGTGTAAATTCCTCCTTTTTTTTGTGCCTCTAAAAATTTATATTTTATTCAGCTACTCGATGAAGAGAATGTCAGAGACATGAATGTTGCCAATCTACGAACTCACATAGGACTCGTATCCCAAGAGCCGATACTCTTCAGTTATAGCATTGCAGAAAACATTGCCTATGGGGATAATACTCAAGAGATTGACATGAACAAAGTCATTGCTGCTGCACGACAAGCTAATATCCATCAGTTCATTACTACGTTGCCTCAAGTAAGATTTAAATGTTTATAATTAATGCTTTGCTTTGGTTTATTTGATTATGACAAAGCATACGAAGGCTATCTGCTTAAAGGAAGAGATGCCTTAGTGAAGATCTTTCTAAGAGAAACTGGCTCGTATATACGTTACACATGGGGAAAACACGAAAACATCCATGCAGCCAGCCCGACTTCCGCGAATCGAACCTCGGACCAAACTACCAGTGTTCAGCGACTTTATCGCTCGGCCGCTGGTAGGTCTTATAACTAATAGAAATATATCTTCGTCAAATACTGAAGGGTGGTTCACAAAAATGGAATCAAAAGTTGTTAATATAGGTCTGAAGCAAATGAATAGAAGTCATAGAACATCTCTGATAATTTATTTCTCTCATGCCGATTCATCCCAGCATTTGTCCAAAGGGATTCTGCCCTCCTCCAGGCACGTGTTGAAGAGACATTGCCCTTTTTGGTAATTCTGCATAATTTTGCTTCATCACAGCTTTTGATCACATCAATAATACATTTTCCTGAGTTTTCAAATATCCTTGGATTGTTGTAAATCTTTTCAGCTATACATATCACCAGAAATACTGACAGAGCTTCAAAATAACCTGCATCCTGTACGAAATAGCTATTAACATGGAGCTGCAGCTGTTCAGTGACATTACGTGATATCCCAATATTAATGTGTCTTATCTCATTGTTTATTTTTCCAGTCTTCGAGTGTCTCGCTTCTTAAGAAACATTCTTTTTGTAAGACACCTCCTCAAATAAGATCTGAGCAGGTCAGGCGAATGATTCATGCATAACATCAATACGCGCGCAGTGGATGATATGACGGTCATAAATTATTAGGAATTATGCAATTATTTAAAAACTCCTTTATTGATAACGAATTAACTTGCATTATGATGGTCGTTCTCGATAACGCATGAGAATATATACGTCTAAAGTCCCGTCAGATTGTGGCACTTGAAAAATTTGATAAAAAAAATGATCAAGACAAGCGAAATCAGACACAACAATAATAAACCTAGAGTAGTGTCTGTATGTGATTGTTAGAGAATGAAGGGCATTTCTGGCCTGTGGTATACTTATTCGACATGTGACAAGAGGTTAATTTTGTGAACCTCTCTACAGTTTCTGTCCATTCATTCTTCAAATTTCTCTTCAACTATCAGATAATTTTTATAGCCATTTACACCATTGATGAAATAAATTAAAGTTGTTCTTAATACATTCGCTGCGGAAAAATTTTTCATTTATACAAGGTGTCCTATCAAGACCGCTCAAGCTCTGCACAATTAGACTTAACGCCTAGAGCAGATAAAAATGCCCAAAGAACTGTACTGTATGAATATAATTTTCGAGACAAATACGAAAGAAACATATGACGTCACATCGCCTATGATTCCAGCATGATGGAGCTCCAGCGCATTTCAGTGCTCGTGTACGTGATCGGCTGGATGTTTCCAAGCCGCTGGATTGGACATTGGACATAAGGGTTCGGTTTTATGACCACCACAATCGCCAGATCTGACACTTTGGATTTCTTCGAATGGGACCATCTGAAGGAATTGATCTGTCAAAACCTAGTTGCTAGTTGCTAGAAAGTGACTTAGTTGCTCATCTTCATGCTGCGTGTACTTTGGTGGGTACTATGCTACTGCAACGTGTACAGTCAGCCACTCCACGTTTGTGTGTATGATTCGATATCGATATGCACGGCACACATTTTGAACATCTTCCTATCTAAACATACGCAAATACCGACGTTCTGCATTGAATATGACGTCATACTTTTCATACGCATTTATCTAGAAAACAATGGGTTCTACGGGGTACAGCTTTTTGGGTCATTTTTTATGTATCCAAGTGAGGAATCTCGCTATAAACAATGTGGGCGGTATTGATCAGAACACCCTGTAACCCTGTACAGATAGTAGATGTATTTATTTTGGATTCTACTTCTATGTTAATAAATTGCAGCAATTTAAAATAATTTATTTTGCCGACTTTCTTTTAAAAGTCTTTCCCCGCTTTAATTTTTTTCTTTTTATCTTCAAGGGTTATGATACTCCTGTCGGAGACAAGGGCACTCAACTGAGTGGAGGCCAGAAACAAAGAGTAGCTATTGCTCGAGCATTATTGAGGAATCCAAAAATACTACTGCTGGACGAAGCTACGTCAGCTTTGGATGCGGAAAGCGAAAAAGTAAAATTTTTAGTGTTTTTGTAATGCAAAATAATATTTATATTCTGCAAATATAAATGTAGGTTGGAGCTGTGATGAAAACCAGATGCCGTGACGTCATTCTCTCTACGAGCTGCGAAGGCGCCAAGCAAAAATTAGGGGAATTACCGTTTTGAGATGATACACGATTGACGTGGGAGCAGAGACGCTGCTTCTGTTCAAAAAAGAACTTTGACGAATCATTACTTGTTTAATTCTCTTAAATGTTAAATTTATGTAATAATCGTTTGTCTAATTAAAAATGTCTTTCGTTAATTAATTTGTTCATCGTTTAAAATCCCCATATATATATATATATAAACGGCAAAATTTTAATTTTATTATTGTCTATTTATTAAATTAATTACTAAGTCAAATTATTAAAATTGGGAAATGCAGAAAAAGCGCATGTAAGCTAATTGTTATTACTAACCGTTTGCAACAACAAAGCTTTTACAATGAAGTGGAAAAACATGAAAAATTGATTCAAATCTTTTTAAATAATATTCAGTATTGCTGCGTGTTGCTATTAAAAATCAAACAAGCAAGATAAAAATGAAAATTTAATATTTTATTCCATTTCCAAGTGATAAGATTTTTAATAGCGGTGACTATCAGCTAGAATAGAGCTCAGACACAACCAAAAGTTATCGCTTTATAATCGTGAATTACAAATCTGTTTGTACTTCTATTTATACTCTTGTCAACAGGAGGTTGAACTACTAGAATATACGTTAACTTTGTAGCATCATAGAGAAAGCAGCTAACTCCCATTTTTTTTTTAGTTTTATGTTCTGCCACAAAAGGAAACTTTTTTTAAAAAAAGATAAAAATTCAGATATAAAGCGGCATTCTTAGAGATAAGTCACTTTTGAACTTGTCTTTCTGATACAGCCGAATAATTTTCCCTTTCAATTCTGAATAATTAAAACTCTGGATAACAACTAAATAGTTTCAATAGCATGGCGGTTTATTGTACAACTTTATTTATGGCTAACTCGCGATTTATGATTTGAATTTGTTTTATAGCCATGCATTTATTAATAACCCAAAGGGGCGATTTGTACAGAAGGGCTATTAATTTCATTTTGGCATTTTACGTTGTCCACTATAGAACGGCGTTTTACTTTTCAAATTGTTGTCACCAAATATTAGAGCTTTGCATTGTATTTAAAGAAATTAAATAATGAAGAATCTGCATAAATGTATCTATTTAGAGAAAAAACGGCAATATCTAGAGATATCAAATTTTGAATAACGTAGTAATTTTGAATAACCTATATTCATTTAAATTATAAATATTTAATGATATATTCAATTTACAAGGAATGCTGAAAGGCTTATATTAAATTAACTGATATTACTTTTTGTTTTTTAGGTTGTTCAAGAAGCTTTGGACAAAGCCAGGAGTGGAAGAACTTGTTTAATTATTGCACATAGATTAACAACTATTCAAAATGCAGATACCATTATGGTTATTCATAAAGGACGAATAGTAGAAAAAGGTACCCATCAGGAACTTCTAAATAAACGTGGACACTATTATAATCTACATAATACCTCAAACGGGAGTTAAACATGTTGTACATTATGGCACAATGTATAAAAGTTTCCATTGTCATCAACATTTAAAATAAGCCATTTATAATTTATTGGTAGCATTTAATGCTGTACTTGAAATGCAATATTTTCTGAAGAAAGCTAATTATAAAGGTTTCTATGCAAAAAATAGTAAATATTTCTGGAATAGACCTTTTTGAAAACTGAAATAAGTCTGTTTTTAACAAAATGTAAGCGACCGGTATAAACATTTGTAAAAATACTGATTTTATCGTTTTAATCATTATTTGGACCAGGCTTGCTAAGAAATCAAAAATCGCCGATAAATTCATTCAGGAGAATGAATCAGAAGTACAAAACAGTGCGAAAATTTCTTGATGAGATGCTTTTTAATAAGAAGTTTCTTGAATCTATAGTTGATCAAAAATATTAATGTATAACAAATACTGCAAGTACAAATGTTCTGAATAATGTACAAATTTACATACTTCCAATATTCGAATAAATAAGCTGTATTTCAGAATTCAGATATTTCATAGGTATCAACTTCTACGAATATACAGCAGGTTTGTGAAACACACGATTCATGATCCACACTTTGGTCTTCTGTTTCAATCCAACTTATCTAGTATTAACAAAATATATTTGAAATTAAAATTTCTGAAATTTAAAAACAAAGATAAAAATTTTTTTAAAAATTGATTTTCAGATATAAAGAAATGCCTCGGGAGCAATTTATTCAGATTTTGACGGCAAACAATTCCTTGAAAGTTGAGATAGGAAAATGGCTGACTATTTTCCCAATGCAAAAGAACTGCCAAAAAAAATATATTTACACTTCCCCAAAACAGCCATATAATTTCACATCGTTTTGATTTTTCAAAATAAATAAACAAACATAAATGTAGAAATATGTACTTTTATCTCCCATTAGTCACTTAAGTTTGAATAATTTAATTAAGTAATGAAAGTTTTGGCAGTACATACTGTAGCTGGCAATAGTTTTCTGGAGTGAAAGCTTTTGAAAAAAATAATTCTTTTTGGTTGAAGGAAAATTTTAACAGAATCCAGCGCTTCATTTTATTGAGGGTTCAAGCAAGCATTGATTACTTACATAGGCAAATGTAATCTTAGATGTTTCATTAACTCTGTTGAGCTTAAAGATAAGAAACAAATTACCATAGAAAATAATTTTATTAATAGTAGTAACAAACAATAAATATTCCTATCTATTCTTATTGCTTTAATTTTGCATTTGCTGTGGAAAATAAGATAATGAACTAATATGTAAGTTTGGTATATATAGTTTCAATTTCATTTCTAATGTTTCAGGTTCTGTTATATTTTTTTACAAACCCCACAGCGGTACACCCCTTTGAGTTGCAAGTAAAATTTATGCTTCGTTCATAATGATTGGACAATCCTGCTACATATGTCATAGCTTGAAATTATCAGAAATAGTTTCCTTATTACTATTGTCACTTTATGTTATACAATTCTAGGGTTTTACTTAAATGTATAAAATAAATAAAAGACTATTAATTTGATCACATAAATAAAAATCAAATTTTACTTAAATACTCTTTTAAAAGCCTTAAAATTTTTAAATAAAGTTTTAAATAACATTTTAAAATTTCTTAACTAAGACTGAACAAATTAATTACGTTTGGACATTGGTCAGTTTTTTAATAACTCTGGAAAAAGAAATGAAATAAAGTAATTACTTTCTGTTGGACATTGGAAGTAATTTTGGTTTACCGCATTTTATAAATATATTTTATTTTTATAAGAGTCTCACCATTCGACTGTGCCATCCGCGCTGTGGCCAGCCCTGCTACATAGTGTATTATACTTATGCTGATAAACTTTGCCATGAGTAGTGTTTTATATGACACATTTTAATTATTTCGTTGTCGAGAGAATGTTCATTATTCTACTTAAATTTGTATTATTCACAAAAGCATTAAAAAAATTCATAAATGATTATTTTTTTCTGTAAACACTACATATCTTTATCAGTTCTCTGTATTCTGATATTTATGAAAAAAATAAATTATTTTAAATTACGTTTTGTTTTTTATTTTAAAAAATAACATTTGAAATAAATTATGAATACTCATTTTTTTAAATTAGATTTTTTTTCTTTATAAGTTTGTGAAAAGTATGTGAATCGCAAAAATTAAGTTTAAAAACAAGTACATACAAGTTTTCTGCCTGCATGAATTGACGCATTTTTATCGTAATACAAAAAAACTTTTATAAATATCTTCATGTTCACAATTTTGAATTCTTATAGCATCTATTTCAAATCAACTTACCATGATTTATTTTAATGAATTCGTGAAATATTTAGACATTAGCATAAAAGCATTTACTAAATTTTTAAAATTACGAACTGGAAACAAATATATAGCGTATGGCAAAAAAACCTGACGATTGTTGAAATAAAATGACACAGAAAATACAAATAACTCATTTTTATCCCCACTGCTGCCTTATAGTTTAATGTACGGCATTACTAAAAATAATAAAAATAAAATTTCCTGCACTCTTAAGATCTGAAATGAAATCTTGCAAATATTGTCCTCCTCAGCCTCTTCATTACTGAAGTCGATATGTGAAACGTTTCGCAGCATTTCTGTCGGTATGGCGGCTATCTCACGTTTCATAATGGCCTTTAGTTCAAATAATGAATGACTTTTGTTAACCACTACTGCTTATTTTAAGTAACTCCATAAAATGAAGAGGCAATCCGAATGATCTGGTGACCTGGTAGCCATATGATATCTCCACGTCAGAAAATTAAACATTCTGTGTGTATTTAATTATGGCAAAGCACACGAGGGCTATCTGCCTAAAGGGAGGGGAGGACTTTCTAAGGGAAACTGGCTCGTATACACGTTACACATGGGGAAACGAACCTCAGACCGAACTACCAGTGTTCAGCGTCTTTACCGCTCGGCCGCTGGTGGGCCCCGTAAACATTCTGAAAAACATCCTCTTCAACATCTCCACTGAATTCTTAGCCTAATGTGGGCTATCACCGCGGTTTGTGTACCTTCTGCGATGCTCTGGAGCAAGAAAGTTCTGTAAGGATTTTGTGTACAGTCCTGCTTTCTCTGTTACTGTCTGGTCATTTTTCTGAAAGAAATACTGGCAGATGACCCCAAACATTGACTCTGCACTTATTTTAAGTGTGGATGGTGATGAAATTTCTCGGACCAGTACCGACTGTTCTGTTTATTGACAAGCTCCAAGAAATGGAAATGAGCTTCAGTCATGCATTAAGACTTCATTATAATCAGTCATAGGTTTTAGCTGTAAAATCTTGGCGTTCTTTCCAATCATGAACAGCCAGTCATGTACTTGCAAGTTTGAAGGGATGGAAATGCAAACCAGAACGAATTCTATTTTCACTATGGAGATCGTATACAGCAGTAAACATCGGTACTCCGAACGCCGAAAGCTATAGTCTGTTATTTAAAAAAAAATTACTTTAAAATCACTGCTGTCCCATCCCATACGCAGTCGTAAATCGTGTCGTCATCACCGCATAGCATTTATTGTCCACGTCGTTTGAAACTGTATTTAAAGTCAGTCTTCATTCGCTTGCTTTTCATAAATAGAAGCATGTTAAATAGAAATGAAGTGGAGAAAACAATTACGAATTAAATCGGGCAGTGGGAAATAATACTGAGTTCCTATTTTAAAATGCCAACCAGCGGCCGAGACGTAAAATCGCTGGATACTGGTAGGTCCGACCTAAGTTCGATTCCAGGAGAAAGGGCTGGCTGCATGGGAGTTTTCGTGGTTTTCTGTATGTGTAACGTGTATTGTAAGATATTTCTCCCGCTTCCCTAGCGTGACTTCGTGGTGTAGTGGTCAACACACTTAGCCGGTATTTCAGAGCTCCGTGGTTCGATTCCCGGCGAAGGCAGTTGCTAATTTTTCATCTCTCTTGCTTACAAAAAATATCATAACGTCTCTACAGTATAACAGCCAATTTCCCTTTGGTAGTCCTCCACGAAGGCCTTCCTTTAAATACTCGCTTTCCATTCCCAAAAATACTACACATGACGATACAACCGTAGTCAGGTTTGACGATATTTAAGGTAATGCTCCAAATCATTATGTGAAGTTTCTCTAATCGGCTGTCGGAGTGAGAAGGACGAAGTTCACAGGATGTGATTTTCAGAATTAATGCTGGCGGTAAATTTTATTTTTATTCACCCACAATAATGGCCTTCTTTAAATTCGTAAAGCTATAACATGAATGTATATGAGGTCTTTGCATTTATTGTGTTATTTCATTAAAAAAATAAGGCTTTTCTGCCGGTCCGTGTATGATACGAGGGTAGATTTAAGATTTTCCGAGACAGAGCTTGAGATTATATATCTCCAATAATTTTTTCCTTATTCTGTTTTTAGTACGTACACGTCAAATGAAAGCAAAGTGAAAACGAAATGTCAACTTTGTACTGCTTTTAAAGTATCAAAGTTTCTTGTGATTTTAGCGATGAATAAAGGTCCGTCAGCGGCCGAGCGGTAAAGTTATTGATTACTAGTAGTTCAATCTAGAATCAAATTCCTGCCAACGCTGGCTGCTTATTTGGTTTTCGTTCTTTTCCTCATGTTTAACGTGGATTTGAGCTAATTTTCCATCAAAATATCCCTCCACGAAAGCCTCCCTTTCTACAGGCAGAATGTTCTAGAATTTCTCTGCCATTAACCTAACCTAATCTGACCTAGTTATGGATCAAAACAAAATGTTCTGTAGATTTCTTCACTTGGAAAGGACAACTTTAGCTTAAATGATATCCACACTGGATGGCTGTTTTAGGGGATTCATCTATATCATTTCTAGCATGAGGTTTCAGATTACAGAGTTTTAACTTGATTGTACTCAGGCAAACGCTGAACCAAGTTCAGGATGTCCAAAAACGTTTACCGCACTAGAAAATACAGATAAAAGACATGATATGATTTTAGAAGACTGCGAAATAAAAGGACGCTAAATTGAAAACTTCGTAGGCATATCGTATAATCGAGTAGTTTGTATTTTGCATGAATAATTGGGATTAAAAAACCTTATGCAAGACGTCTCCGAATTTGCTTAATTCAGAGAAATATACACTTATGCTCCAACTTCAACTGAATATTTCAAAGTTTTCATAAACAATGCAAAAAGGTTTCAAGAGACGGTTTGTCAGCATGAAGGGAAATACTCATACCAGAAACAAAATTATAGTATAAACAGTGGCTTGTGGAGGAAATACTCATACCAGAAACAAAATTATAGTATAAACAGTAGCGGTGAGTGAATTCCGAAAAGGGTGAAGTTCATTCAGCTGGCAAGTTGATGGTAATCAGTTTTGGGGATATAAAAAAAAACCTATTTTTTTATTCATTAGCTTGTACGAGGAAAACGGTTGCACACGTGTGGACAAACTGAGAGCGGCAATTCTAGAAAAGCGTTCGGGAATGGTCAAACAAAAAGTATTGTTTCGTCACAAATAATATATCCATCAGTACACGTGAAATCGCGTAAAAAGTTTGATAAACCTGACGTTCGAATTCATCTTGTATTCACAGTGCTCAACCAATTTGGCTTTATAATATTTTCTTAGTGTTACTGATATATCACTTCTGTATGGGAAGAGAGTTTTGTCAAATAAAGAAGCGATCAGTGCTGCAAATGGTTATTTTGAGAACCTTGAAGAAAATTAATTCAAACAGGAAATCTAAAAATTGAAGAAATATGGGATTTAGGCATTGAATTTCAAGGAAATTATGCTTAATGTAACTTAAACCCGAATTAATTGCATTTCCTTTTCGTTTGGAATAATTTCAACCTAACCTCAAACACACATAAATCACGATACAAATCTTCACACTTATATAATTAATTTGGCAAGATGCCAAAACATTGCAGCTGCTCATTTGCCATTTCCGATTTTCAGAAAAATTAAAAATTGAACGGGAAAAAAATTCTATTGCCTTTTTTTTAATTTTATACTTACCTAATTAACGAATCAAATTCATTGGAATTGAAATACATCTTATATCTTTATTAGTTATATATTGTAATACGTATATTAAGGAATGATATTTTACTCCAGAACTTTTAAGAGATAAATTACAGTTATGTTATTCAAGTTTAATTTTGTGTATTAATACTACATTATTTTAAAGCAGTCTTTTTTATTATATTAATCAAAATACAGTTCAATTTTCTGTGATAAGATAATTTATCATAATTGCGTTTTGCAGTACCAGTAGAATCAAGACAAAAGTGCTTATAGTATCTGAACTAAACGAAAAATTCTTAAATTATTCGCTAAGATTTGTTACAATTTTTCATTTTCCTTTATTTTGTAGAAGTTCCTAACAGTTATTTTAATTTTTAAACATGGTTTTTACTCTCTATTTCTCGTTTTACACCTACTATTCCCTACCAAAATAAGTTTTTAGTATCTCGTTGTAAATGAGGTAGAAAGAGTATTTAAAGGAAGGTTTCTTTTACTTCAGCAGGCCGCCCACTTCATCTACTTACCAAGACCTACATTACGATGTTCAGGAGGTCGCTACATCCGTAGCGCTCATGATATGCGAAAAACGATATGTTAACCATAATTCATAATTAATATATTGCTAATTGCCTCTATGGAAGATGCAGCACGGATTGTGTATAAGTAAATTCCAAAAGATTTGGATTTTTCAGTTTTCTCATTTAGGATTCCCCAAAGGGATAAATATAGAGTAGTAAAGACCACGTGGTCGTACACCACTAATACAAGTGATGATCTAAGACCTACTTCAGCAGGAGGGCTTAGAAGTCCCTAGCGGCGCGTGTTTGCCGTCAGATTACTGCGTTGTTTAAAGTTTACTACGCTCGGCCGTATTGTACGTGCCTGCTGATAATCGCCGGTTAATTTAATTAAGGGCAACTTCGTTAGATAATTGTGTACAGCTTCGGCTAAGTTCAGTTTAGTTTAGCATTAGATTAATTTCTCACTTTCTTATCTTGATTTAAATCCCAAGTGGAGGCTTTTCTGTAGGCCCGAGC